CTAATAGCGTTGGACATTGGTTTGTAGAAAGCGTTTGCGGCTGGTTTGAACAAAAGAAAATAACGTCTTCCTGAGTTAGGAAAGAGTTGGAAATAACCAAGACACAAAGCACTGTTAGAAAATCATTTGAAAATATTAAAACATTGACTTTTATCAACGATTGATTCTCCAGCTGAAATTTTAATTTTAAATATTTATTTTTACAACCTACCTATTCAACACTGTCCTATGCACAACCCACCTCATCCTTTGTTAATTCCTTTGCACTGCAGAGTCATCATTAATTTGTTTATAATAAGTGAAAAAGCTACTAATGAACCACCTTTAAGATAAAATACCTCCCCCACATTATTCTCAGTATTCTATCTCCTCCGAACTGACGTATAACTATGGACCTAGGTCAGGTACGGACATTCCACCGGGGCACCAGAGGCTACTGTAAAGCCCAAAGGCATCGTACGTACCATCTACTCTCTACTTTTATTTACAAATTACCACAAACACTTTTCCCCCTCCATCTGCCCAAATTCTCACTGGTGTACCGCAGGGCAACGTACTCGCTTCCCTATGGTTTACCTTTTACCAAGCAAGATGAACGAGCAAACACGTCACCGAACAACAAATTATATTTTACATTTAGCAAAACAGTGCGAATACTTATTCTCACTACTGCTTTCCGACTAACGATTCTCTTTCTGTTTTGTCCCGTAGGGGTAGCCGTTCGAATGGGATACCATTTCCCTCCATCTACATGCGTATATTTTCTGTAAACGAGGAAAGGTTTGCTGTGGCTTTGATAAAACAACTCACTTTCTCTTTTATCTTTGATACTCCTTCTTCCATGCCTTACATGTAATCTTATACTTGACTCAAATCGCCACTTAAGATTGGAACTACGATATTAAAAATACATGCGAGGAACAATTGCCAAATGGATCTATTTAAAAACCCAAACCTGGAGGGGCAACACTACAGCAGGCAAGAAACCTCGACAATAATACGCCCAAAATTACAAACCGCAACAGCAAAGTCAGAAAACCGCAGTACCTACATATTATATGTTACTATATAGACCTAACAAAGTGAAATTTTCTACTCGTAGTCAAAGAAAAACCCAGAAAATATAACGAGGGCAGTGACCATCAAGGCTATGGAGCCTATTAAAAAACATATGCTAGATAGTGAGCTACACGACAATTCATAAGTGGTACTATATAGACCTAAAAAAGTGAAATTTCCTACATGTGGTCAAAGAAAACCCAAAACTAGGGAATATAACCGGAGACCATAGGTCAATCAAAATCCAGAAACTACATAGTGAGTTACACCGTAATCCATATGTAGTACTATGTACACCTAACAAGGTATATTTTTACTCAAGGTCAAAACTCAATCTAGAGAATATAATTGAGAAGTCACTGTCAAGGCAATGTAGGATAAAACATTAGAAGCCAGATAGTGAATTACACCCAAATCCATGTATAAGTACTACGTGGACCCAGGAATGCGATATTTTTTACTCATGCTCAAAGAACAGCTCAATCCACAAAAATATAACGGAGGAGCCATTGCAGGCTATCAGAGCAGATAAAACATCAAAAGCCAGATGTCGAGTAAAACCGGCTCCTTGGACTATAGAGACCTAAGAAGGCGAAATGTTTACTCGAGGTCAAAAATGCCCATTCAGCATATATAACTGGAGATCCTCTATCATGACTATGAAGGATAATATGCCTAAAGCTACATAATGAGTTTCACCCCAACTTTTGTATGGTAACAAGGAGAATGTTATTACTCGAGTCAATGCAAAGCCTAATCCAGCATAAGTATCGGAGGAAGCTTATGGAAGCTATTCAAGACTATGGAGTCTATAAATAGACAGAAGCTAGATCGAGAGAATGAACTGCTAAGGGTCCCAACATTAATAGGCTCAAACTTAATAATCTAAAACCATGTAGACAATAATGCTAATTTTTGAGATTGCTGAGCGGTGATGAACCTGTAATTTGATCGGTACAGCTCTCACTGGTTTAGTCTCTCTGAGAAGTTTTGGCAATTCACTACGTCAATGTCATAAGGTCATGTCATAAGCAGGGTGAAGTAGGCATAATGCCAAAATTCATCTGGCAGACCAAATCAGCGAGCCGACCAACACGATCGGTAGCGGTCACATTGCGAGTAATTTAACGCACCTTTCTCCGTCTCTTACTTTTCCGTCGTAAAAATCTCGTCAAATTATCAGATCACACCCCTTAATCCAATATCGTCCAGAACACTACCTAAGGCGACAATGGCCACAGTACAATTTAGTTGCTAAACGTCGTCATTATGATTTGTTTGCCAAGCAATATCACGTTGGTAAACTACTGTACCTAACAGATGGTTAATTTTCATGCCGTAAGGTCAGGTGCATACAGACTGCTTGCTAACTGTACCAGTATTTCGATACGTTGCTTTGTTTAACGTGCGGTTGTTAATTAAAAAAGTAAGGTTTGTTTAGTTAGTCCGAAGTACTCATATCTTTGATTTTATCTTTACAGTCTTCAACTGAAATAACACCTAGAATATCCAATATTGTATTATGTGATATACGTTTGATCAAAACTGATAGAAACTTAATTCGTTATCACTTAGATGATGTACTTGTCACTTGATGTAACTTGTATTACTAATTGTAACCGTTAACTTTTTAACAAAGTGAGCTTTATAAAAAAGGTAAGAACAATTCGCATCCTTGGCGATTTAGGACGGGAAACTCCACACGTTTATTTATTAATAAATAAATAAAATAATAAAAGAGAATGATTTTCTAGATTCTCTCGGCCTTCTTTGCAAGTCAACGACCTTTCGAACGACGATTTGAAAATCTTTGGCGATCGGACTGTCATCGCCATCCGGGATGGACTCTATTCATGTTTATTCCTGTTCATTAAACGCCCTGGGAAGGCTGAGCGGGTACCAATAAGGGGGCTACAAGGACGCATACGAAGAAGACAAGAAAATAAAAAAGAAAGGACACAAGATGATTATTTACATCAGAAAGGCATATTTCATACTTTTGTTGTTATTAGAATTCCGAAAGCGACGCGCTAGAAAAAAGAATTATTATCTCATTTAAACCCTTTTAAAACAGTTTTAAAGATTCAAAATGAAAATTATTTATGTTTACGTTGGTCCATAGCAAATTGAACGTGAAATATGGCGTAACACTAAGCGGAACTCCTACACATCAAATTTAGATCCGAAAAACTCTTCATTAAGGAAAATTGCAAAATATTTGAAAACATCATGGAATAACATCGATAACAAACTTGTTCACCGATAGTATAAAGTGCATGCCTGCTCTGATGAAGACAAATATGACTTCATGGCCGACTGCATGGAACAGGTTCATAGACAAAATGATTCTATGGGTTTCTGCTGCCACCAAAAGAAAATAGAACGATAGGTAAGTCTTTTCCTCAGAAACTGCCATTATCACTCTTCGGACTGTTGCCTCACTATTCATAAAAAATTCAAGAAAAAATAAGAAATCACCAGGCTTAGACATATTCCCCACTAATCTGTTCAACAAATGTCCCCACACTAGGTTACTTCCCCATTCTCTGGAAAACCTCTAAAGTGGGTCTAAAGGGGGCTCGTCCTCATTATAACCCTGACCTACCATTGAAGATTTAAAAAAACTTGAAACGCGTCTTTCCCACCAGACCAGGGAGAATAAACGGACCAGGTGATCGTAATCGACCAAAGAACAGAACCATCACTCCTTAGATTACAAGAAGAAATTTTGAATTAACCAGCATTAAAAATGTAAATTACATAAAATATTCAAATGACAAGAACCTTTATTGCTAAAGAAAATGCAAGCTTACTGAACTATGGTTTTATGTTGGCCTGCAAGTCCGTGAATCCACATCGAACTGGCAATGGGTCTCTTTGAGGGTTTCACTCAAACGTATTCCGGCTTTGCGCCTTCTTCAATGAGGAACTTACTGAACTATCGTAGGTTACATAAACAACTAATTAAGCCTAGGTAATAATTGACAAAGAAGATGTATGGTGACCCTGAAACCTTGCACTTTCTGGGAATATGTCCTGCTTTGGCGGGTGCTCCGAAAAAACTGTCTTGGGAAGTGTGGAGTAAATATCCTTAACGATGGAACTAACGACGATACTTTTTCTCATGCATCTATGTAATAACTCGCTTGTAAATGGGTACACTTTGTAACTACATTTCTGAAGGTAACTATGACGGATTCCTGTCTTCTTTTTCAAGATCTGTTTATAATGTTGTCTCTCGGGAATGCATGCATATATCACGCTCCTTTTTATTGTTTCATATTTTTCTATGCTGAAGGATTAAGTATCAAATCTGTAATATGTGATAATTATTCTATCTCAACAGAACTGGGAGTACTATGAAACTTGGTTTGATCTGCAGTTACACGCACTGTTCTAAACTGTGCCTCCAGTCGACTAAACCAGATCTTCAGGTGAGAGCTCAAAAAATAGGTGGAATTTTGGTTCTACTTCGAGCTATTTCTACCTCAACTTGGCATTCCTTTAGCTGGATTTTTTCTTCTGACGAACTCAACACTTCGAGTCGAGTTTCATTATTTGATAACCGAAATCTCATGGGGATTTTCTATATGGTATTTTGTTTGGTCTGCAGTTACACGTGCTGTTCTAAACTGTGCCTCCAGGCGAGTAAACCAGGTCCTCGGGCCAGAGGTGAAATAGGTATTTTGGGTATACTTCAAGCTATTTCTTCCTCACCTGAGTCTTCCTTTAGCTGGATTTTTTCTTCTGACAAATTCATCACGTCGAGGTCACCAGTTCAATCATTTGGTAGCCGAAATCTCATAGGAATTTTCTCTATCTTCCGATGCGTGTGCTTAACAGCTATTTACTGTTCATTGCAGTCTTAAATTGTGCATTCAGCAAAATTTAACACCTCGATTCAATCCCGCTTAAATGGAATCCTTGTTATATTAGTGCAAAAACGGCTGATTGGTTGCGCGATGATCGGCTCGCTTTGCCATTTGGCGCTGGAATTCTGGAAAGGTTCCGGATTTGGGGTTGATATTTGATTTTGATAAAAAGCGTGGACTGGTCTGTTTGTTTTTGCTTATTTCCCCCCATTTTTATTTTATTATCCACATTGTTGAAGCAGTCAGAAAAAGCCGAATAATTCATGAGAAAAAGTACTTGTTACATGTCATTTCTGAATATGGAATCAATATCAACATCAAGCTCCAATTCAACTCAAAAGATAATCTCTGGTGAAGTAAGTTCAACTGACACTACCTTTATATAATCTTTATAATAATTGATATTTTTCCCTCATAGGACGTTAACGTGGAAAAATATCCACTTTCAGAATACTACGATAAACTACAGTCACTGGAGAACGATCTGGCGCTAAGTCGACAATCTCTTTGTAAGTCAGGTACATTCGAAGCTTTTGCAAAACTTTCAGTTGTACGTTTGTCGACAGGTCATGTCAATTCAAGTGTGTCAAAGATCAAAGAGATCCTGAACAGTCTGAATTTTGAAAATCTGCAAAAACAGATGGAAAAGCCGCTGGACAATGCTCAAGTCCTTTCAGTCAACAATCCAGAGTCAGTGCTGAAACATTGCAGCAAGGTGATAAAATACCTAAATTATTTTCCTTTTTTTTCCAGGAAGTTTTCAAACCTGCTTCACCTTTCCAGCGATTTGTTTTGCAACATTCAAAATTTCACAATTGATGGCACATTACCCAATCAATTATTGAATGGGCTGGTAATTTGTTATTTTTATATTTTATTGTAGAAAAAAATAAGTTTGCTTTTACAGGAAAAGGTAAACAGCGAAGTAGGAAAGATACATGAGCAGGCTTTGGAAATGAAGAAAAATTTCATTGATTCATGATGTATATAACTTAATTTATAATTGTAATTTTTTGTAATTAAATAAAATATCAACTCAACATTTTCTTTGGTGATTGATCAACCTTCTCAGTTTAAATATATTTTTCTTTTCAAAAGGTAGATTGGAATTGGATTGGCCTTAAAATATAAGAACAATTTTTCAAAATTGAAATCAAAAGTGCCAATACAACTGTGTAGCAATGTTGTGTATAAATTGTGTTGTAACGAATGTAGTGCTGTGTATTATGGTCAAACTAAACAATTATTGAAAAATAGATGTAGACAACACGCCTACGACGTTAGAGATGTAGATAAGCAAGGGACTGCGTTTTCCCAGCACAGTCAAAAATATAACCACACATTTGATTTTAACAATGTTTCTGTTATGGATAAAGAACAATTTTTAGGTATAAGATTGATTAAAGAGATGCTATACATTCATAAAAAATTCGCGTAACCTTAGAACAGATATAACAAACTTAAGTGTAATTTATAGTTCTATCCTTAACCAATAGCTTTAATAGTATAATATGTACCTGAATGGTTATATGTGATAATTTAATTTAGGATTGTTTCAAATTAATTTGTGGTTTCCTTTTAATTGTATTTGTCATATTTGATACCAAAATGTTATGGAATTTTTTATAGATTGAAGATTGAGTCAGTTAGCAATACTGTAGCATTTAGGAATATTTAATACCTTCGTTTATCGAAGGTGGGTTCTACCGGCTATCCGTTATCCACACATGTACCTGTTCATATAGTATTTTTTTATTTTTTTTTAGTTAGTAATTAAGGAAAATTTTAAAAATTGTATATTTGAAAATTTACTTATGTTAATTTGTTAATACAGAGTCCTGATGAAGGCGATATATTCTGCCGAAAGCTCGACAAGAAAATAAATGTTGTTTCTGTCTTCCTGGCCTCATCCCCAATCTACCTTTTGGAAAGAAAAATATATCAACTCAACATGAAATAATGTGCAAAATACGCAACTGCACAAAAGTAAAATTTTAAATATTTATTACAGACAAAGTGAACAGAAGAATATAGCGTAAAACAGCATTAATATTGTAAAAAGGATTATAAAAATTAACTAATTGTTAACAATAATAAAATAGGTTTTATTTAAAATGTCTTAGACATATAAGGTCCATCTAGTTCATATCCGATCTTTCTATAGTAGTTTCTCGTCCCGACTCCTGGAAAAACAGAAAGTTAATGAATAAGAAAAAGCCACCTTATTTTCTCTCACGTTATTTTATTACCTGATATGACAGCTATCTTTTTAGAACCGTGCTCATATTTCGCTATCCTTTCTGCTTCTTCCATGAGGAGCATTCCAAAGCCCTGGTGTTGAAATTTGGTTGGGTCGCGAGAACTGACAGGAACAACGCTTCCATAAACGTGCAGTTCTCTCACAATCGAACACCCCCCTAACAACTCAGGCCTGCAGTAAACGTAATATAAGCATTTAGTAAACAATAAAAAAAAAGTACAATGAAACTCCTTTCGAATTGAAACAAGGAAGAAGTGTATTTGTCAATTATTGACACGTTTAAAATAGGAATTTAAAAAAAAATTATGCTGTATTTAATAAATCTTTTTTTATTTTTCATCGAATTGAGTCCATTTGACTTCCTTAGCTTTATACAAACAAATGGATTAACTACTAGTCTAAGAACAAAGTAGTTTCCATGGGGAAAAAAGAACTCCCACACATGGATTACCAAAATCTAAAAATAGAGTAGGTGCCTGGGGTAAAAAAGAGCTGTCAAATGCCTAAATAATTCCTCTATTAAAAAAAGGAGCTTTCAAAGGAGAAACCTTATGAAGAAAAAGTGATTATGAATTTCCTTAAATGGATTAGCAAAGTCTAAAAATAGTTTCCTAGGGGAAAAAAAGAGCTGTCAAATGCCAAAATAATTCCTCTGTAAAAAAGGAGCTTTCAAAGGAGGAACCTTATGAAGAAAAAATGATTATGTATTTCCTTAAATGGATTAACTAAGTCTAAAAATAGTTTCCTAGGGGGAAAAAGAGCTGTCAAATGCCTAAATAACTCCTCCATGAAAAAGGATATTCCAAGGAGGAGCCTTATGAAGAAAAAGTGATTATGTATTTCCTTAAATGGATTAGCTTTGTCTAAAAATAGCTTCCTAGGGGGAAAAAGAGCTGTCAAATGCCTAAATAATTCATCTATAAAAAAGGAGCTTCAAAAGGAGGAACAGACCTTTTTTTTTTCTAATTTACAGTATATTACAACTACATCAATTGGGCAAAAAGCAACAATGGGTGCATAAAATAAATATATACAAGAAAGGAAATTGGCAGCACTACTAAAACCTTCACTATCCTTTTCAATTCCCAAAAATGGATTGTGGATATGTTCAAACGAAGTTCCCCAAGCAGATAAAGATTCCTGACAGTATGTGAGAAATAAGTAACTTAAAAAAAAGTTTTTGCTGTAAAAGAAATTAAAAAATGATCATAACAGTTATTTGTTTATATGTACACTAAAGACATTAATTTCTATACTCAACGACAAAAAACTGGCCACACTCATTAGGCATTAGTTAGGTATTTAATTTGTCATTAAATTATTTCCTGGTGTTTTGGTGATTTTTTTTTCCAAACCATCATCACTAAATATTTTTTATTGAAAATCATTAATTTCCTATTTCATTTTTATTTGGTTTACATTAGTATATGTATGTTGTAATTATGTAACAATTAAAAAAATAAAAATAAAAATTTTTAAAATAAATGTGGTGATTAAATAGAATGATTTTTTTTTAGTATGTTTTTACTGCTTATTTCAGTTCTATAGGGGTGAACTCCTCTGATGGGGACTGACACCAGTCAGAGGGATTTAAAATATATAGAAATCCAGAAATCCCATTTTTTTTCTGGGGTATGAAATCATTGTCTATTAAAATAGGTTTCACTGCACAAATCAATTAAATACCTGAAAGTGTCATCGGAACATTTTCTCAAGCGCAGTAGGCCGACGAGTATGTCTTGCTCAGGGTCTTCGTACGATAAGAATGTCTCCCAACCGCCATTCGCCATATAATCCCTTCTTATAAGTTCAATCTAGGAGTATTATTTTCTTAAATTGATTTAAACTGTATAAATACAATTTCTTTATGTGTAATACCTCGTAAGGTCTGACTTTGTTGTGTATTTCTTGAATACCGACTTCTCTGGTCCTTACATCCTTACATTCAACCCCGAGATCCTTCATCCTTGCCAAGGCCAGCTCCCTAAGATTACCATGTTCCACACCCGAACTGTGAACAATTTCCAATTTATGTTGAGCATACTTAAATTGCAATTATAGTTATATATAATTAATTATGTATAGTTTATTACAGTTATAATGGTTTAATTATAAACGCACCTAACAAGTGGCATGGGAATGTCCCGCTGTACTCTGTACACCCTGGTCCAAGGTGGGACAAGGGCAAGAATGTGTGCGATCAGATCGATAAGAGTGCTCGGTGGATAGCTTTTATATCTTCCAGTTTTCCAGAGCTCATAAAGCCCCGTGCCTCTTATAACAAGAGTTGGGTAGATTTTCAACCCATCCGCTCTAAATGCTGGGTTTTCAAAAAACTCCTTGGATAAAACAAATAATAAATGTTTTTATTATTTTGAACAGTGAACGTTTTTATTTTTTAAGATGTACTTACAATGAACTGCTCGGTGTCACGATGGATGTCAACGTTGGGCAAGTCAGGCATCATATGCGCGACAACTTTGAATCCACAGTCTTTCGAGAGCTTAAAGCTCTCACAGACAGACCTCACTGTGTGACCCCTGTTCGTATCCATTGCGACATCTTCGTAAACAGACTGTACACCGACTTCAAGCCGCGTACAACCGTAATGGAGCATGTCTGAGAGGTGGCGCTTGAGACAATAATCCGGCCTAGTCTCTATCGTGATCCCGATGCACTTAACTTTACTCTTCTCCGAGTACCTGACCGCTTCGTCGACATTATTACTGTGGTGCCCGGACAATGCGTCGTGAAGATTTCTTATAAAGTAGTCTCGATAGTCTTCAGGAAGGCACATGAAAGTCCCTCCCATCACTATAAATTCAACTTTATCCACGCTATGGCCTAGTTGCTTAAGCTGAAAAGAGTTTGTTTACATGTTACTACATCAAAGCGAAGGCTTTGTTTTAATCTATAATTAAAGAAGAAGAATAAAAACCCCAAAACTAATAGAGGAGACTTATTAAGATAAACTGATGGATCCAAAAAAGGAACAGGTTGTGGGGGCAGGAGTTAGAGACCCAGGGTTTGACCTAGCGAAACCTCAAGGGGCCACACCATCAATTTTCCAAGTCAAGATCAATAAAAAATTAAAAATACCCTAAAATGTATTCAGATATCTTGGACAGCCAAACAACACTGAAGACTTTTGACTCCACCATCTTTGAAAAGGAATAGAAGTTCTAAAATGTAGAAAAATATTGCTAAATGATATAAGGGGACTGCAGCAGCTGAGTGTTTAAGGCGTCAAACTCTCGGCTAGTAAATCTTGCAGTTGTTAGTTACATTTCCACCATCACCTCAGGAATTTATTTTCTGGCGTATAAGCGAAGCAGTGGTTGCAATGAAATTAACAAAGGACTTCCATTCTGACCCCCTTTAAAAATGAGTTTCTTCAATGTAGGAACACTGGCACACTGGAGGCCCAATTCACACACATATCGCTGCGAGCTCCCAAAAATGGAACCAGGAAAGAGTAAATATCCATAATAAAAAAATAAAAATAAAATATTTACTTGGTCGACACGATGTTTCGTCTGGAGATAAGGATCATAACGCGCCCGAATAGCCCTCATAGATGTCGGTTCATAACCTGTATAAGATTGCGTTGAATACTCAAAATCTGAGTCCGGCCCTCCTGGGCAGTAGACACAGATGTTTCCCGTCATGTTGATATGCGGGCAACGGTGAGGTTTGCACATCACCGCGACGACTGCTATCTGCAAACCACTAATATAACGAATTGTTCTTTTTTTGTCTTATTTTTTATACAATCTCTAACCCACCCCACTGGCCGTCCGTATAGGCTTCGCTTTCAGTTTTGGATATAATATCTTTCTCGATTCTTGCGGTACGGCTGCTATGATGTCAACAAGCTTCGGTGACGTTTCTAGACCGTATTTGGATGCGATCCTCGTCTTAAGTCGATTCAGATTGACATCACGCCCGTCTTTATGAGCGGCGAGAAGCTCTTGTATTATCTCGGCTATCGTGATCACCGCCCTCTCCTCCTTACTCATCTTCGAGTACTCTGTAACAAAAATCGTTCCTAATTTAATACTATTATACGACTTGTGCCAATTGATTTCAACTTTTAAACATGAAAGGAAACTCATAAATCTAGTAATTTCTACTTAAAATGAAGGTTGAATGTAGCTAGTTTGATATGTTCTATATTGGGTAAAAGGGAAAAACTTTTCTTTCATTTTTATGAATTGACACCATGATGTCATGTTTAAATAATGTTAAGTAAAATCACTATGTAAAATTATCGTTTTTGCTTTTGATTAATGGAAAGAAACTATTTTTTGTATGACTGATCGAAATCTATGGTGGCTTTTTTTATTACCAGTATTGTTTTTCACCATATTGATGGGTTTCTTTCTGCTATACTCTCTGATCAGCGATGAAACAACATAGTTGAATAACTATTTAAAAAAGATAAAAATAATAGTTATATTTGCATTAAAAAAACGTGTTGCACAATGTCAAAATACAAGAAGGTTTCACAACAGAATAATTGGAACTTTGGACGTGTGATTAAAGCCTTCAAGTTAACATATTGGCTTAATATAATATTTTATATTTATTATAAATATAATAAAACCTCAAACCGACGAATATATAAAATTATAAGAATAAAGTATTTCCCTCCCAAACGTACAAGATTCGAACTACATGTTCAACTCATTTGTCATATGATTCACTTTAAGCAATGGTTCAGTTAGTTAAAAATGTAGCAATTTTAGTTGTAATTAAACGTACATTAATTACGTTACACTATATGAAAAATATTTGTTTACATATGCAAATACTTAACGTTTGCTAATTATAATTGATTACTGATCTATATCAGCTCAAATCGGAACTTGTACATACATACATACTTACATACACACTTGAGCAGAGTTGAGCCTATTACTCCGCAATCCACCGGCAATTACAGCTACATTCTTTACTATTTAAATACCATTCACTCAATTAGATAGGGATAGGGATAAAAGAAGCAGCCACAAGGCCTTCTGCATCACGGGTAGATCTGATCTGCTCCTCTGGTTTTATAATTCACGGGCCAGCTTCAGGTTGTTAATCAACCAGCGGCTTCTTAGTGATGGATCTTAGCTTTTCCTGTCCTAGATGCAAAAACCTCTTCTCACTGGCAGTATCTGCACAGACTTTCTTCTGTAAGTACTCCTATCCAATGCACAGGCCTTCTTAGGTGGTAGTGCCCTGTCAGGAGCCCAACCAGAATCCTGGTTAGGTTGCATTTGCCTTTGTGTAATTCCTTTGTCAGTTTTGCAAATGGCAATGGAAATTCTATGAATTACTTCACATGCCTCATACCTGGGGTATGGTTCCACCAGGTTTTGGACTCATTGAGGATTTATTTTAAGATATATCCTCTTCCGTGGTAAGATGCTACACCACAGATGTTGCCTCCCTCTTTGGTTAAAATGTCAACCTCTATGCTCTGAATGCCCAGGGACCCAAGCCAGGGTCAGGTCATTGGTGACGCTGACTTCCACCAGGGTCTGCATGCAGTTCTAAACACTCTCTCCCTTCACCTCATATGAGGTTAGGGCATACCGAGGTCAGTCCTTGGACTTATCTGTCCAGCTACTGAGGCTATCAACAACTAGGTCATTTTAGCCTTCAACACAATCAGTTCCTAAATCCATTCACATTCTCTTTTATTCTTAAATACATTCTTTCCTAATTTACATACATTCAATTAGGGTGATGAAGTACTTGATATTCCTCTATCACCTTTTTCATCTATTATATAACTGATCCAATTGAGAGTCGATGGGATACTTAATATTCAACCATTAGCCCTCACAATACAATAAATACATTTTCCAACTTGTGCAACAAAGTAAGTTAGGTGTTTCTACATCTCAAATGCAAAAAAAGTCCATATGAACCATGGTACAATTCTCAACATTTGATTTTTTTTTTCCAACTATCTATCGTTTTTGTCATAGATCTACTTGTATCACTTGAACTAATCATTTTTATGAAAGAAAAAAAACCCTGAAAATGGCATTAAATTTTCTTTAGGAAGGCACTCTTCTAGAACTTTCAATTTAATTTTCAGTGAAAATAAATTTTTTAAACAACTGCTTAAAAAAAAAGAAAAAGAAAAAGAAGAAAAAAAGACAATAATCATAGTGAACAACCAAGGCAGAAAAATTACATTGAAATTTTTCTCTATTTGTGTGCTTTTTATTAAGTTAAAATTGGGTTTTACAACTTCTATACTGGCTTTTTTTTGGCTGTATTTAGTGTATATATATTGACCATTTTTTCTGCTTTGGTTGTTTATTACATTTATTGTCTTATTTTTATGTGTTTTGTTTGATTTTTATATTGCTTTTATTAATGCATATTTTAAGTTTATTAAATGAAGAAGTTGTTATGACATTTTCCATTTTCCAAGCTCTTTCCATTCTTGCTAAATTTAAAATTAGTAAAAAAAAAGGTAAATTTGCAACCTTGATGGAAAAATTAAAGGCAGAGCTTGGAAAATTTCAAAACAACTTGTTTGTGTAATATTCAAAATTACAATTAATTAAGGTTTTTAGTTGAGATAAAAAAGTCAATGGCACGAACGGGATTCGAACCCACGATCTTTGGCTAGATACGCCGCTGCTCTACCACTTGAGCTATCGTGACCTCGATCCACTCGGACTAACTTCCCATCTCAACCCCACCTTTTGAATTTTCCCTCCTTTTTGCCATTTTTCAAATGTCGTGTAATCGGATTGATTCTCGACGACAAATGAAATGGNTCGATCCACTCGGACTAACTTCCCATCTCAACCCCACCTTTTGAATTTTCCCTCCTTTTTGCCATTTTTCAAATGTCGTGTAATCGGATTGGATTCTCGACGTAGAGCTTTAGTGAAGTATACTTCATTTTAAATTAAGCTATTAGCTGCAAGAAAAAAAATCACATCAAAATTAGTCAGTGAATTAATCCAAAATTTACAAAACAACAACCTGATTTCTTGGGTACAAGGACACAAGGGAAGTTTGAATAACCTAAAGGCAGACACACTGGCCATAAGAGGATCCGCACGACCATATACAGATCCTGAACGTATTCTCAAGATAACAAAAACAGAGTCCTTTATCAGACAACGGATCCAAAAAAGGCAAAATAAAAAGTGGATAACCTCAAAAGATGTTAGACATAGTAAGCTTACGTTAAAACTCATTAAGACTGGCAAACTTACTGTAACTGTTAGAGAGGACTAATCGTAGAGGATTGATAAGGTCTATTTATTGGTCATCTACATAACATGGTATATTGAATGATCCCCATAAGAAAGAAGAAACAGCCACCTATATCAGTTTCAAATGCGAATGGCTTAATAGGGGCAACTTGGGTTGCAAAGAAAACCCAGGAAAGGAAATGTAGTAAATGACTGCCAATGACCAGTCTTTAAAAGAAGGATCGAGTCGATTGCACTAAATTAAGGAACTAGGAAAGTGCAATAAGCTGGAAGGCTGCAATGCTTGGGGATCGAAAATCCCCGACTTCCTAGTATCCATCATCAACATTGAAGGATAAAGGTAATTTAATTTTATTTAATACTTCTTCATGAATATTTGTATAAACATATAAAACAAAATGAATTATAACATCATTTTATTTCAGCAAAAATAAATATTTACAGTGCTTTACTAAAATCCGCTTCTATCTAAAGTAAAGGCTAAACATTCTGGCTAGTTTTTACATAATTTAAAAAATATTCAACGATTATAAATTAACAATTAAAAAAATATCACAGAAAGGGATTTTATTTATTTTCAAGATAGAGCTAATTTATTTACCAGTATAATTTATCACTTTGTAATTTTTTTTTTCAAATTACATTTTTTTAGTAGTGTTAATAAATTATTCTGACATCATTGGCTATCATTACAGTCTCATTCAACCAGCATAGTTGAATGGGAACAGTGATGGTCAAAGTGATCAGATTTAAAAAAAAAAAAAAAAAAAAAAAAAAAATATATATATATATATATATATATAAAATTCCTGTCATTCAGGAGGGCTTATTAATCTACTACCTATTCTCAATTAAAAAGCCATGGGCTTATGCAGGGATTTGAACCCAGAATCACAAGGGTAATAATAATACAGCATTTTAGTTAAGATTTTTTTATGTCGTTACTAACTATAATAGTGATTAATAAAATAAAAAATGTGTCCTGGCAATTGTATAATTAATGTTGCTTGTTTTCAGATTTTATGCAAAAGAAAATTTTGTTTTGTGAAGCAACTTTTGACAAGTTATTCTATATTGTTTCTAAAAATAGGGTTGTTGTAACAGAGATAAATGATATCAAGAATATGAAAACATTACTACAAATGGTCAAATTAAATAATTACTTTCTTGCCTTAACTATTCTAATAGTTTCATAGATTTTTGTTTTAAAAGTCTCAATTTGACTTTCGGACATTTCTTTAAGATCGGGTAACAAACTTAGAAGGTACATTTCCTTTGATTTCACATCTCGGTTGAATGTGTCCTTTCCATTGAGTGGATCAATGAGCAGATTGGTGTCTTCACTGTTCGAATCTGTGGGATTGCTGACCCAAACGACTTCAGAAGTGGAGATGTCTTTTAACTCCTTCAGGCTCATAATTTGTTCATCCATCAAATCCATATAGTCACTTTCCATTTTTATCTTTATCTCATTGTTTGTCGTCGTATTGTAATTATCAATTTCTTTTACTACAGTTTTTAAATTGATGTTGCGATGCGGGATTGTGTCGCATTTGATCAAGAAAGTTTTGTCTTTACGACATATGTCAACGTTCATGTCAAAATGATCTACACAACAGTAATAGTTTCCTGAATCGAAATCTGTTCTCCCTACAGCCTCAAACCACCTAGCTCTCATTTCATTAATAGCCGGAACTTTAATGAAAAGCTTTCCTGGACATTTGTGAACACTACTTGAGCAACTGGGGACAAAGCAAGGCCAGTCTTGGGATGCGAGTATCTCCTGCTCATTTTTTAGCTTAATGTTGAAACGCGGCAACACACCTTTATACAATTTCAACTCTTCCTCTCCTGAAAACCATTTATCATAGTTCAAGCTATCATGTGTCAAATCGAAATGCCTCTGGCAGCAATATTGTGGTCTGTTTATCTCTTTTGGAAGGTATAACTGATTCGAGACACCAATAGCTTTAAGCCACGTCTTTCTTAAATTGTTTTCAATCGGTAGATGAATAAAAGTCATGTTAGGGCATGTTATGCTGTTACTTCCACAAGCAGGTACAATGCACCTTATAATGTTCACTCGATTACAAACTGAAACAAGTAACAACAAATAATAAAATTATATATATTATATATTTATTAAAATGAATAAGTTTAAGTATTGATAAATCCATACATCATGCATTTTATATTTGCTGCAATAAATTGATTGAATTTTTGCATAGGCTCGAATTCGCACATGTACAAACCAGTTCCAAGTTGAGCCTATTTGCTTCTCTTGGTTCATGGGCAAGGCCAACTTTAGCTATTTATGTTTAATTGCCAGCAGACTCAAGAATCAATTACCCAGGGTATTGGTAGTCCAGGGGGAGACCTCAGTTATCCGTCCAACCAGAGATGTTGGGCTCTGGGGGGGGGGAGTGCTGTCAACAGCTAGGTCAATTCAGCTCCCAACTCATGCAGTCCAGACCCATTCTTACTCACGTTCATTCTTAAATACATGCACTCCTATTTACATACCATTCATTCCATTAGCCAAATACCGAGCACTCCATCACCATTTACAGATCTTATACAACTAACCTAATTGAGGGTCAATGGGCTACTAGATATTCTGCCTCTGACACATTCACGCTAATAAATACATTCACTCTCAACACAAACTAGTTACACACAATATTATTAATATATACAATAGAATAGCCCCAATTCCTCCAATAATAATTCTCTTATCGGGTGGCATTCTTACACGCTATCTATATGAAGCTAAGGAATCACACCCTGCAACTTGGTGGGACATATCGAGCAACCTTTCTCAACAAAGTAAGTGCCAATCGGGTGAGGTCGACCCTTCTTCTACGAGTCAGATCCTCCGAGTGCCACTTATCAACACTTGAGAACTTCCCTGTTAACCCGGCCTATTGACGCTGCCACCTTTTTTAATAATGTTTTTTATTGCATTATTACTGACAGAGAGCCGGATCGCGGTGGTTGGGACATACTGGCCTTTGCGCCCCTCCGTCTTTCTATTATAAAAAGGTTCATCCTTCTATGCTTGTGTATTTCATCATACACTTTTTTTGCAGATTCAATCCTGGAAATACACCAAAGTTGTACAGTTTATCACAATTTATCCTACCTTTTGTCAAATTGGAGGCGGAAGACATGTCAGCAGGTGCGTTGTCATAACTGGCCCCTTGCATTGAACCACTTACAGGCAATTCAACAGCTAAAACAGTAAATTAAAAAATATTCAACTAAATAAGGATTTAACTTCTTCTTAAACTGATCGAATAAGTTGACTGAATAATTGAGGGTGCTGAAGATCAACACGAGTCCATTCATTCGCAGACCAACCAACCGACTTTAAGGTTATTCTGAATGACAAGGTCTATTATAATCTGTACGATCGAGATAGATTGATAAACAGCTTAATGTATAACACTCCTACCTTGTTTTTGTGCATTTGGCAAAACGTTTGACCCTTCCTCTTTTATCGAACAGTCAATCATCAAATCACCGACTACAATCAGAAAATCTGTGTGAAGAGTTGCACTGACAAATTTGATCTAACTCAACGATCACTGAAACTAGTCAATTTTTGTTGACACAAGTGGATGGACAAGCTTACACATGCTTACCTTTTTCTCTCGTCAGTTTGGTCTTTTTTCGTTTCGAACGTGTGGTGGGATGGTAAAGACTATCATGCTTGTCTCTATTCCCTGGCATTATGCCTGCGAATAATTGTATACACTACTATAGTCTGTAAAGTCAGTGACTTGAAATTAATGAGAAAGAAAATGGTTTATTAACAGGTTCAACACAACAAGCCAGGAGTCAAGTTGTCACAAACGAGATAAAATTAAAGATGAATAAATTTATTATCCATAAAATATTTATAAAATTGTTATCAGTCAAAAACCAAAGGGCTCTTGTTTACCAAAACACAAATGTAACTATCAGTATCGACTATCGACTACCTCCCTAGTTCGATTTTCCACTGCCAACATCAATCACATCTTATATTAATTCCCTCTAAACCCATATTTGTTATTTAAAAAACCATGAGCTCCAAATCTCAATTTAAGCAATTATATATTGCACAACAATATGTTTAACGGTACGAACATAATTTTAGTGTATATACCGCCGTAGAGAAAGGTTGCTCGATGTGTCCCTCCTAATTGTAGATACAAATCCTTGGCTCTCTATAGAGAGCGTGTAGGATTGCCACCAGAAACGAGAATCGTGCTTGAGCACGGTTGCGAGTGTCTGAGACCCTTGTTCTAATTTTTGGAGGAAACAGATTTTTTTTAAAATTGAATATAATACTGCCCTAATGTGTTTATTTATTAATATAGACAGAAAAAAATTCCAAATACTATTCATATAAAAATATAGAAAACAATAACACGATAATATATTTACTTGTGCTTGAGCAAGGCAGTGAGAACATGGGCCCCCTGTGCTGATCCTTGTTGGAAATGGGGTTGTTCTATTATATATAGTAATAATAGCTGTACTTACCTAGTGTAGAGTGAATGTATTTATTAGCGTGAATGTGTTATGTGAGAGGGTTGATGGATGTATATTGAGTAACCCATCGACCCTCAATTAGTTGTATAATATGTGTTATACGAGGTTATGGAGGAATATCAAGTACATCATCATCCCAATTGAATGAATGGTATGTAAGTAGGAGTGAATTTGTTGTGAATGAATGTTGGGTGCTGAATTGACCTAGCTGGGAGGTAGGGAAGGACCTGAGGGAGGGAGAGAGGGAGAGAGAGAGAGAGAGAGAGAGAGAGAGAGAGAGAGAGAGAGAGAGAGAAAATTATTTACAAGCTCTCAAAACAACGTTTTGCCACTCAAGGTTACATACATTACTTCATCAGCATGGACCTGGTTCACGCTGCCCAAGGTTCCTAACCCAAGGCTGCTCCTGGTTCAACCAGGGTATAAACAGGCCTGGACCAGAGACTGAGGTTACTCAACAATCTAGAGTACAGAAGTGAAAAGAGATTTAGATTTACAGTCAGCATGTGGGTCTAAGAGTCATGTACAGTGACGCCTGTCACCTGAGTACTTAGGTGGACTCTTCGTCAGTAGAAGAGGACCTCTAGCAATCCACCATAGTGAGTGAGTGGGAAAATTTCTTATTTTAACTAAGAGGACATACTTAAATAAATAGATTGAAGAAATACTTTATTTATTTATAAGCTAATGTGACGACAAAAAGGTCAAAAGAACAGGCTAATTATAAATACACAGCAGATTTGAAAACATTGATATAAAACTACAAAATTCTTTATTACAATGTAATCAATTTTAATTGATTGTTGTGACAAACAACCTTAATTTTAACTGAGCACATGGAGTTAAAAAAAAGAAGAAATTGTGCCAAATAAATAATCCAATTTTAAGAAAGTGTACAAAATATAATTTTAAATATATAATTATAAAGTTAAAGCAAAGCTCTGGCTCGCACCAACACCGATTTTGACGATGTCTTTCAGGTTTACTTTAGAGGGTTCAAGCACGTTGTCTTTGTCGAATGTGCAACTACCATGCTCATTCCAACCCCAGGTCCAAAGAGTGTTTTCAACAAGTCCTAGGTTGTGTTCAGCACCTGAGATTACGTCATTGAAGTTATAACCAGGAAGAATTTTTGGTCGCCATCTAACAGCTCCACTAGAGTCACCCAGTTGTCCATAGTTGTTCCTTCCCCAGTTGATCAGCTTTCCACATTCTAGAATAAATTCTGTTGACTAGGGTCCATTTTCAAACTGAATTAATTACTAACTTGATAATACAGCTGAGTGAGTCCAGCCGGACATTAATTTTGAATTGAGTATTTCAGAAGCAGGCACCGGCAGCTCCACTTCGACTGGGTATTTCGAATTTTCATGGACTGCAGGATCCAGGCCTAGTTGGCCAAACTTGTTGGCGCCCCATGAATACAGCTTACCTTCTTTTGTTACAGCCAAGCTGTGATTCATGCCACAACAAATATTCACAACATCTTTCAACCTGTCAACTTTTTGCAAATTCCATATTAATATATGTAAATTTAATGTTTAATGTAAATAAAATAGACTTACCAGGATGAAATCCGATCCTGTTGTCATCTCTTCCTAATTGGCCGCATTTTCCACTTCCTGCAGAAATTATGGTTCCATCTTCCTTAAGAATAAGGCAATGTCTCAAGCCAACTGCTATATCTTTGACTTTATCCTTCGTTAATAACTTTATATCAAGAATCTGTAATTATATTACACAATAGCTATTTTTCATGCAACTATTTAAATGTTAATAACTTATATTTAATTAATCCATATTTACTTGGTGGTCATAATTGACATTGATTATACCAATTAATTATTAGTTTTATCTAAGGTTTTTGGTGCTGCTGTTCTAAGATCGAAGTCACAATAACTCAAGTGGTTAGGGCAGCGGCATATTGAGCCCAAGGTCGTGGGTTCAAATCCTGCTCATGACACTAACTTTTCATCTCAACTAAAAACCTTAGATAAAAAGAATAATTATTTGGAATATATAATTAATTAATCAATTTGTATTTTATTTGGTCCTAATTAACCAAAGTGTGGATGAAAAATTAACGTCACGAGCAGGACTCGAACCCACAACCTTCGGATAGATATGCTGGTGCTTTAATCATTTGAGCTATCGTACCTCGATCCTCTGGGACACCAAATCCTATCAACCTATATTTTTTTTTTAATTTTTCCCTTTTTTTTTGCCATATATTAAAATATTGTTTAATCAGATTTAATTCTTGGTGAAGTGGCCACAGGGAGCTGTTAGCGAAGTGCAAGTACTTCAGTAATTATTATATTAATCCATATATGTATTTTAGTAAGTCCTAATTAACAAAAGTAATGATTTAAATTGATTTATAATTTTTATTCAAAGCGTGGCTGAGATGAAAAATTAGCGTCATGAGTGGGGGGACTTCATTTCATTGAAAATCAAATCTGATTATACAATATTTGAATATATGGCAAAAATAGGAACATTTGAAAAAGTAGGTTCAGACATTGAGTTGGTATCCCAGGGGACCGAAGTCACTTCACCTCAAGTGGTTAGAGCACCGGGGTATAGACTGGGAGGTCATGGGTTCAAGTCCCACCCATTACACTAATTTCAATTTTTCATTATGTACATTCCCCCTGTCTTCCTAGGTTTCTTTTGATTTAATTTTGGTTATTTTATTTTATTTTTTTAAAATTTAACTTTATTATTTTATTTTGTTTATTTCCTTTTTAAATATAATTTATTATAGTTTTAATGTAAGGTCTTGGTTGAGATGATGGGTTTGAATACTACTCAAGGCACTAACTTTATTATTTTATTTTGTTTATTTATTTTTTAAATATAAATTTTATTTTAATTAATTATAGTTTTAATGTAAGGTCTTGGTTGAGATGATGGGTCTGAATCCTTTTCATGACAATTGCTTTTTCACCTCATGACCTTCGATTAAAAGTAAATAAAAATAATTAATATGGACTTCTACATGCATATAGGGATGAATTTATTATTTCTTATTTCATTTTTTAAATTTTTTACGAGGGTACGCAGCATCAGAGGTCATATCAACCCTCAGGGTCTCTGTTTTGAAAAAAAGTCTATTTTTAAGGGTGTTGGGTCTAACCACTACTAGGTTTATATATTGCTGTCAATATTAAAAATAATTCAAATAAATAATTAATGACACATTTTACTATAATTATTGTAAAATATTTAATTACAGATCAAAATATCAAAATCACAAGCATTGTTTCTTTTAATAATGAAACTTTTGATACTGTAAGGTACTTATTTTTATTAAATTTTGTGCTATTGAGCAAAAAATTAAAGAGTAAACAAATACATTTTGAAATTGATTTTTCTTCCTCTTATTTGGGCAATAAAAATATTTTTTTTTCAATAATTTTTTCATCTTCAAATCTATTCTCTATTTTGAAAACTGAAATTGGTCTAATGTGAAGTAAAAATACTTACTTATATTAAAATAACAAACACCTGTTTCTCAGGGAGTCCTAGTTGGCCGAAGCTGTTCGATCCCCAGCCAAAGCACTGTCCGTCAGCTGTGAGGGCGAGCGAGGTGTTCCACATGGTTGCAACCTTGGACAGCCTCAAACCGTCAAATTGGTCCAATTTTTCAAAATTAGGCACGACATCACCACCATTAACTACATCGTCTTTGCCGGCAAACCAAAGGGAGCCATCGTCACTAAGCAGGAAACTATGATTTGCACCACCAGACATGCAAACGATTCTGTCCATGGAAACGTCTTTCATCTTGACTTCAACTGGCTCCCTACACTCTTCAGCAGTTGTCCCCTGGCCTAGTTGGCCACAACTGTTTGGCCCCTTCAAAAACCAACAGAAAATATTTATTTGAAATCATTAGTTGTATTATTTTAAATTCCATTAAGGAAAGTTGAACTTATATGCAAATCAAGTGGTCATTCCTCCATGTATCTGTACCTTCCTAACACTTTGCTGATTTTTTTTGCATCATTATTGCCTTTTCAAAGTCGCAGTATAGCAACCAGATGTCTGTGTGTCTCTGCGTCACCTTGACTGAATCAAGAAGGTTTATGCCTATTTACACACTTTCTTAAGGTGACTGAAGGGGCACAAGATCACAGATAGTTATAATTAATTTGGTTGTCTCTCTGGAATTGGTGAGTTGATTTTTCTTTTCTAAACACAATTTATTGTGATTCTGTCCAATTGGTCAAATGCAGTGGATACAGTTAATTTTTTTCTATTTAATTTTTGTCAAACCCTTCGTACCCACATCAGGGTCACTGCATTTTTTTCCAAGATTTCTGAGAGATTGAATGATCTCCCAGACAATAATTTGATAATTTCAGATCATCAATGCGAGTTTGCCTAATTGTGATTCTGGCCCAGTGGCACAAGTTCTGCTACTTCTTTTTCTAGTTTATCAGCTAAATAATTTTATTCATCATCTGACATGCTATTATATCCAATATATTTCAGAGATGTTACACTTTTTACACAATTAACTTATTGTTTATCTTCACACACTACACAATTTTTCCTGATCATCCTAGACTGCCAGTCCTCACCATTTTAGTAAGGTGAACCACCGAGTATTAATTTCAACATAGTGCCATGCTTATTTGTCATTGTAGTTCAATGGCCGCAAGAACTGCTAATTTGTGTTTAATTTGTAATTTGTTACAACTCGTATTTTGCCATTGCTAGTGATTCTGGGATCAAATCTTAGCTCATAGAAATTTAATAATAATGTAAAAAAGTATTGCAAAGTGGTTTAAATACTTGTCTATGTCACTCAATGGGTAGCTGGACATTTTCCCTTCATATATGATAGGAATTAGTTACTTTAATATGCCAATTATTTTGAGTTTATTTTTTTTCATTTCTCCCTAATCCCTCATGCCCTTGTACCAAATTTTCCCAGATATGTAAGAGATTTACTACTACCAGAATATAGTTTTATCGTTTCTGACAATGCTAGTCTGTCAATCCTTGTTGGTTTGGTCTGTCAGACATATTACAATAGCGGGTTTGATTTCAGGTTGAGATCTGCAGGATAATGAACCTGTAGTTTGGTCATCCTAGTCTGCTCATCTTCACTAGATTGGTCAGGTGCATTACCCAGATTTATTTTCAGCCTATGGCCTTGCTTATTTGTCATTCTTGTCCAGTGGGTGAAAGTACTGTAAATTATTGTAATTTATTCCGACTCGTATTTGCCACTTGAACGGTTCTGGGCCCAAAACCGGACATAGACTGTTGAACATTTAATTTTTGATAATAATATGAAAAAAGTATTGAGTGAAATGATTTGACATCTCTGACATTAAGCCCTTCTGTCTGACAAGAATTACTTTACTAGTTCCTTTTGCAAGTTTATCAGTAATTTAAATTCTTTTACACCCTTCATGTTCTTGTATTCAGATTTTCCCAGATATCTGAGAGCTTTGAGGAATTGTAAGCATATAGTTTTACCGTTTCAGACAATCCTAGTCTGTAAATTCTGCATTTTGTTTTCTTCAGTAGTGGATTTGATTTCATGTTGAACTCTAATGGGTAATGGACCGCAGTTTGGTTATTTTAGATTGTACTGGCCTCTCTATACTCGCCGCTTTGGTCTATCAGATGCATTCCAGCATGCTGCCATCTTCAATAGTGGTTTGTTTTCATTTTAAAGTTATATTTGGTTGTTTAAAATCACAATAGTCTGCTAATCCTTGCAGCTTTTTTTGTAAGTTGCAAAACGATATTTTGCCATATTCAGTAATCAGTTTGATTTCATGTTGAGGCTTAAAGAGCAATGACGCTGTAGTTTGGCCTTTTCAAATCAACCTAGTCTGCCTATCCTCACCAGTTTCATTTTCAGCACATGACAATCCTCATGTGTCATTCTGGTACAATGGTTGCAATTACTGCTAATTCTCATAACTTCTGTTCTGGCTCATATGTGCCAAACTAGCTGTTCTGAGTTCGATTCTTGACATTTCATATAGAAATTTGTGAAGTAGTCTCACTGTCCAAAAGTATAACTGTGCTTCTTTCAACATTTTTTATATTTGAAAAAAACAAAAACAAAAAAAACAACTATTTTTTCCATTTAATATTATCTTATTACTGCATTTTATATCGTATTAATGAACTCGAAATTCCCATTTTTCACCACTTTCTTAAACAATTTTGGGTATTCATGTTCTTATTTATAAAAAAAAACTTGTTGAAATTAAATAGAAGGGACAAATTGTTTGTCTTACCCAAGAGAAGAACCTCATTGTTTTGTCTAAAATTACTAAAACAAGCCCCAAAGCCAAAACAACAACAAACTAGAACTTTTAGTGATACGTTATCAAAGTCAAGGCCGATGAAACAGTGGTTGTCCCGATCCGTTACCTTCCATCTCTGGTTATAAAAAAAACAACCTGTTGATTAATTGTAGTCAAAAAATTTTTGCGCTGGTTCTTTGGGAAAAAATAAATTTAGTTGAATGATTTAATGATTAACATAGGGAAGAAAACATAAAAATTAATTATTCGTTAAAAAAAGAAAAAATTATCTTATTATTTTAATTCTTCTTTTCCTTCATTCTACGATCAAATGTGCAGCATGTTATAGTTTAATTATTACATATTTTTAAAAGTTAAATTATCTTTCATTATTTTTTTAGTTAGTAGGTAGGTTTAGGTAGTATTAGTTTTTTAACTTGCACTTCTGTACATGTATATATTTCCATATTTAACTTTATATTATTTCTAATTAAATGTTTTACTGAATATAATTCAACTAAATATGCAGAAAATACTCTTATTTTACTTACTTAATCAGCATATTTTTATTTAATTATTTTTCTAATATTATTTATATAATATTTTAAAATATGTTATATTATTTTACAATGTCAATTTAGTAATGTACAATAACAATGATAAATGTGATCTTTATTATCCTTTGTTTTCTTAGTATTGCTTTTATATTGTATATTTTTGTATTTAAACATTTTTTTCAATTGAATTAATTCCGTAAATACGTTATTATTGTTAATCCATTTATGTTTAGTGGTTTAATTGACTAAATCACTTCTTTCAATTAATTCTTCTTCTTATGTATGGTCTTGGTTGAGATGAAAAAGTTAGTGTCACGAGCGGAATTTGAACCACGACCTTCGGTTAAAAACGCCGCTGCTCTAACTACAGTCACGATAGTTCAAGTGGTTAAAGCAGCGGCATATTGACCGAATCTCGTCGGCTCGTATCCCGCTTGTGTCACTAAATTTTTCATTTCAACCAAGACCTTACACAAAATTATTATTATCACGCCTCGCGGAGGGCCTTCAGTCTTCAAGAAGAGCGATTTGAAGCTGTTCAACGCTTTTTGGAGGTGGAGAACGATGTCTACCCAGTCTCTTTATCATGTCCATAAGTGTTATGTAACTGGCCAATTCATAGTGGTAAACCCTACATCCTCCAAATAATGAAGAGACAGCTACATGCGGTCGAGCATTTCCATGCATTAACACGAAGTTGTCTCCAATAAATGGAGCGAATGGGGATAGATTCATTCTGTTGATAGGTTGATTTCACCCATACCATAACTTTCTGTCTTTGAAAAGGCTGTGCATTAAGCATGGCACATTAAGGAAAACGTTCTCCACGTCTTCTCCAGATATGGTCCAGGTGATCTGATTGCCACAAACGAAACCATCATCTGTGAAGTGAACACCCCTCATGGATGGTGTTGATTTGCGAATAGTCGCCTAATACTCGATGCCTCTCCAGTAGTAGAGAATCTGATGTCTAGAGACTAGGCTATTCTCTCGAAGACTTTTGATGACTGTTTTAGAGGTCATCCTTACATTACAGATCATTTGGAGTTGACCTATCAAGGAAGCCGTTAAACGACGGTTCCTTAGTGCGGTAAGAGCAATAAAACGAACGTCTCTAGCAGTCATACATCGTGGTCGACTACCTTCCCTTCGATCAAGACTTCCGGTTGCCCTAAACCGCCGTAGATCATCGTGGATGGTGGAGCGCGACACACCCAGGACTGGGCTTTGTTCGGACGAGTTCTTCTCGACATGAAACCATGCTTAAGAAAAAAAAAATTACTCAAATTTATTGTTTCAATAAAGCCAACAATTCAAAAAACCAATTATCTCATTCGACAAGTTCTATGAGATTGAACTGTTTTTCTTTATATTTAATCTAAAGAGTGTTAAGGATTAGTAAAACTATAAACGGTTAACATAATTTAACTACATTATAAACTACGTTATACATACATAACTACATTATATAAAAAATAAGTAATAAGTATTTAGCAAAATTTTTGGTAAGAATATTTATTCAATCACTCAGAAGAGATATCATATCTATTATTATTTATATAACTATAAAAGTAATGAATAAACAAAGTTTTCAAATATATGATGCAAAAATTCAACAACAAAAATAACAGATATGAAAGTTGTTTTTAACCGTTTTATATATATTTCAGACAAATCAATTTTCTAATAAACTTTTTGTTTAAGAAAAAATTATTTTACTCATTTTATTACATTTTTAATTGTTTAATTTTTACAATTATTACAGGCACGTCGGTTCTCCGTAAACTATGAAACCCGGCAAAATTTCCGTCTTGTTTATTTCGCCGTTTTCCAAAATTGGCTTACTACCAAAATCCTTGGCTTTGGAGACCATAAACATTATATTTTCAAGTGAATCTTTCCTGTTTAACTCTTTGCCCATTTTAGCCGGTTGAGAATTTTGTATGTTCTCGATGACAGTCTCGGGTTGGTTGTTGTTTTCAATGTTGCTGTCAATTTTGCTCTCCGGGGTTGTGAATCTCTTGTGATTCGTTTTTCTCAGCATCGCCTTGGTACAGAGTGCTTTTAGTATATTAAATATATTTATAAAATTACGATTTCAAACATTTCACCTGAAAATTGTAAGGGGGTTCGTCTTCATTTGTGTTTGCTAGAGACTTCCCTTTTTCCAGAAGTTCGCTCGTTAAAGGGCTAATTTTGTTGATATTCTTCGTCGGTTTTAGGATTTTTCTGTAACAAAAATGTTTCAGTATTTTTTACATAGATAAAAATTGATAAATGTTACCTGAAGTCTGCAGTTCCATTTTCAATAAGACTTTCTTTTTGGCTCAAATCGGTCTTCGGTATGTATTGAGGTTTGGTGTCTATTCTGACTTGTTTTTGAGTTTCCTGCACGACATCCTTTATTTCTGAATTTTCTACTTGGTTGACGGCCTCTTGTTCGTGTGTTTCGACTTTGTCTTGCTCCTCTGTTTTTACAGTTCCTTGTTCATGTTTTTCGTCCGTTTCTTGTTCGTGTTTTTCAACGATCGGCTCCCAATCTTCCGGTTCCACCTGTAAGTTCTTCAGTAAGTATCTTTCCTTTATATTTTTATCTTTTACCGCTTACATCAAACTCTTGAAAGTTGTTTTCTTCGACAACCGACGAATCTCTGCTGTAAGGGGTGTCTATGAAATTTCTGTATCTCTTATTCTTACGTTTCATAGCGTCTAGCAACTCAGCAGGCTGGTGCGCGTCTTCCGTTTGGCACCCTTTGTCTTAAACAGCATTAAAAATTACACAGGAACATACAAAATAACCGGACATACTTAGACTTTTAAACGGATCGTCCCAAGAAGGTAGTTCATCAACCGGCTTTCTGTGGATTCGTTGAAAAAATATTATACCCTTATTATATATTATTTATAAAATATTACCTATCATAAACGGATCCACACATGAAAGATGAATCGCAGTAGTTGATGTCTTTGATGTCGAAAGGTAGCTTCCAAACGACGGGATCATTTTGACGCCCGATGAACATTTCTTCGTCCACGTCCGTCTCGATTAGGCTGGTTTCTATATGATTCTTCTCAAACAGTGAACCGACAACGCTTTGGTTGTACAGATGCACCTAAAATTGCAATAAACGATATTCTTTTTCCGGGACTTTTGTGATTTCTGCACGGCCATGAAACTGCACGTTTTGAGATTCATGGCTTTGTCACCTGTTGACAGAAGTAAACCACATCGTGATGCTTTGCAGCCCTATAAAGCAAGAGAGTCTGGTATATAGATTTCGACTTCCACTTCTTAAAATAAACTCTGATAAATTCTGCAACTTCTGGGTCCAGTTTACCTAGAAAACGGGCCGATTTTGACTAAAATGGTCGCGTTAAAAAGTACAAACCTTTTCTTTGTAATTTTTCTGATTGCTTGATTTTGGTCATATTTGTTAGGTAAAATAATGTTTTATAGTGTATTAATACTCACCAGTCGATGTGTTTAGAAGAGGCCTGAACTTCTTTCTCACTAAAAATCCTTTCATGTCTAAAGATCAAAATTATTCTGTGATTATTGCCGTGTCAAAGAAACATGAGGGGAACTCACTTTTTTGAATAATTACCGCTGCGGCGCCTTCCTCTAAATCAACAGTTCGTACTGAAATAAAAATGTTTGAAATTCTATTCCAGATAACAGTCAAAACAAATGAACAAAAAGAAAAAGAGAAAAGAAAGGAATATGGAGAAAATTGTTTGAAATAGTTTTTATTCAGTACCCTGCGCAATGTACATTGGACTAATATTAAGATTATTTTTTAGATATTTCAGAGTAGTTCTCTCACTACACAATTTTTTTTTTAATAATCATTTTAAACTATGTACTGTTGACATATTTTGTATATTTGTCTATCTATCTATTATTCTATTCTTCTGGGATCACATCATTACCGGTCTGTGAATTTTCGTTTTCCGGCTTGTTCCTCTTGTGAGCGACGTTCTTTTTCGCCAAGAACCCACGTAACATGGACTGTATCTTAATTATCTTGTTCACTTGAGTTTCATAAAGCCTACAGGGTTATTAAAGAAATAAAATATATCTAATAAATATATTAATTAATATAAAAACAAATTAATTACCTTGAAAGGAACTCTTCGTTGTAGTACTTCAGAAATACTTTCTTGTTACCCATCGTCCATCCTTCCATTTTTAAGCGGATCAAGAGGAGTCTGCAGTTGTCTTTTGTCTTATCGACACTCTCCTCAAAGTCGAAGGCCAAAAACTGATATCTGAGAAATTCAGGAATAATAAAAAGATAAAGAAAAAACTATAGATAATGAAGATACCTTTCGAGAAAATCGTCGAACGCGATGCGATGGGAGAAGCCGACCTGTCGAGCCCCAGCGGTTTCAACAACAGACAAAGCTCTAAGCTGTTGTTTTATAATGGAATGCTGAAAACCTTTCGGAGCGCTGTTCAGATCCGTTCTGATGCATCTTACAAAATGAGTACTCCCTTCTGAAAGCAACTTGAGGATCTCGAGGCTGGTCGCTCTGAAGATGGTCGCGGCAGTGCGGATCCCTTTTGTCTGAGAAAATTCCCCTTTCGAAGCCGTATTGTATCGCTGTGAAATTTTTTAATGAAACCATGTTCTTTTCAAACTAGAAATCTAATCTTTTACCCTGATTTTTCTTGTGGTGTCTTCAAACAAAGCGCTGCCCCAACGGCTTTTCTTCTTTTCCACTTTAGGATCACTGTCGACTAAAACTGTAACGTTTCCCGTTCTTGAAAGCTTGTTTGTAAACATTTGCTTAATTATAGGTTCTGTCGATAGTCGCATGACTTCGGTGATCTCGGGAGGAAGGAAGTCTCGATTTTTCCCACACATGGCTACAGCTTCGTAAGTAACTTTGCCTGTGTAGTGCGCTACTGAAAACTGATCATCTGTCTCAGCTTTAACGTGATCTGTTTCTTTCTTCTTCTTCTTCAGCCAATCTGAAACAGCGATCCGATAAATTTTACATTTTTATGAGGAGAACTGTTACGTCTTACCGACTAAGAAGTCTTCGTCTAAATGAAGTTTGTTCGCCTCGTCCAGGATATGCATTATACCATTCGGTTTATTAAGAAGTTCGTCTATTGTACACTTATTATCGTAGAACTGAAGTTTTTTAATCTGCACTTCATCTTCTTCTTCGTCTTGCTGAAAAGTAAACTTGTGTCACTTTTTCCTTCTTCAACAGATTCAGCCAAAAGCTAACCATTTCAGATATGAAAATTTTCTGGTTGTAAAAAAACTGAAGCTGTTCGTTGAGTGAATTGACGAAAATCTGCTCGAGACCGTTGTCCGAGTAACATTCGAAACCGAACATGTCGAGAATGTTGATACAATGGCTGTCTCCGCTGGAAAAAAACAAACAGATATTCATCCTAATCAGAAAACATCAATCAATTTTTAACATACTAGACTGCTCTTGATAATGATAGTTTTTTATTTATCATGTTGACAATCCAGTCGACAAGTCTTGAATAGATGGTCTGCGCCAAAACGTTCCTTGCTTCAGTGGCTTCAGCTTTTGAATGTCTTCGCCTTGAAACGACGTCCTTCTCCAGTACGCAGTAGTTGCACAAGGCCCAGGACAGACGCTTGCTGTTGATCTGAAGAACCGAAGCAACTAAAACAAATCATCAATGGAAAAAGGTTAAATTTATTTTATGAATGTTTGGATTCTATGGATGTTGAAACCTTTATCCAGGCTTTCCAAATTGCTGATATCAGCATTTCCATCTTGTTCTTCTTTGTACTCTATTTCTCCTAATAGTATAATTGCAGATAGAATTCTCCAGATCGCCTAAAAAGAGAAAAAATATAATGGTTGATTTCAGCTATCGAATTGGGCTTACATCTTTTTCATCGGCGCTGAAGTCTAGGTCATCCAAGCTTTTGTCTATCTGCTTGAACCAGTCGACGTTCGTTTCTTTTTCATCTCTAGGCCCCGACGGAGCTTTCGGATCCCTGTCCTTTTCGTCGATGTTCCTCCGCAAGTAACGGTAGTCCTTGTCTTCCAGGCCGTACCGTTCCAACAGCCCCTCGTTCCGCAAACCGTCTACCAAGTAGTAGAATATGTGGAAGTTGGTGTGGTAAGGGCACCTTCGAAGGATTCGGATAAATTACAGTGGCGAAAAGAACGTCTCATACGGTATACCTGTTTCCAGTCACCCTCCACTTTTCGAGCTGGTACACCCAAAATATTCCTCCGGATATTTTTCCACTGTAGGAGAAAGTCAGCTGAGTGATAAGGGCGTGCCTAGTAGAATTGTTGTTTACCGGAGTAGACGCGTTTCCAAAAGCTTGGATCACTTCTAAAGATCTTTGAAGCTTTTCACCACATTTATTTCTGCTCTATACATGCAAAATTAAACTTTCTTAAAAGGAGTAAGTAACGAATTTGTATTATAAGTACTACGTTGCCATATTCGATTAAAATCGCTCTGTCAGTTCAATATATTTATCTTTTAATGTTTTACTTATGATTACTACAATAAATGATAAGACGTTAAGCTTTTAGCACATGTCTGTAAAAGTTAGCTGAATATGACTTAAAACAGAAACTTTTCTGAATGAGAAGTAGATGACCTCTTGCGATACAATCAACATCCCAACTAACCAAACAATAAAAATAACTAATTTCTATTGAGAAAAATTAATACCTGTCCCAGATTGATTAGCTGTTTCAGCAAATGCTTGAATTGCGTTGTTTTGCCCGACATAGTCTCACCAGAGAGGACGATGTTTTGTGGGACGTTGTGGTGCAGCATGTCCTGGTAGGCGCTGTCGGCCACCCCGTAAATGTGAGGCTCGTTATCCGAGCGTGATTTGAATTTGTACCTTCTATAATGCTGAATGAAAATCGATTAGAGACGAACTCGTCAATAACACGCTCACTTACTTGAAACCCGTAGTTTTCAACGGGCTCGTTCGGGTTCATGAAGAGAAGTATGTCGCCGATGTAGGTGTAGTACTGGTTCTCGTTGTACCTGTGTTCCAGGTTGTTGATGATCGTGTCTTCGTTCAGCGTTTCCAGAGCGGCCAGGTCCTCGACGTACATCTTCTCTCCGTCCTTGTCAATACCTTGCTGAAAAATAGTACAATTATGAGAAGAAGCCGATTCTGCTATTGATGGCTTACTTTAAGACGGCCGTTTTTCACTTTGACCTCACTCTTCCTTTCCGATACGTCTTGCGACGTCACAAACTCCAGAAGAGTTTTCAGTTCAACATTAAACTTAAAATTAAAAACAAATGTATAAATTGGTACAACATTAATATCAATGTTTTATAACAAACATGGAAGTCATTTTCTGGTAGGCTGGTAAAAAATGGATGCTGCATCAGTTCCGTCATATAAGGTCTATATTCAGGATTTTTCACCAAACACCTATTAAAAAAATTAAATAAATTGTATTGTCGATAATGATTGACGATTTACTTACTCTGCAACGAAATCATTATAGTTTTGGGACCAGTGTGCCGGTCTGTACAGAGTCGGAGGTGGATTTCTTACTATCTGAAACAAAGCTCTCGTAGGATGCATGTCCTGAAAAGGTGCCTTTCCATCTCCAAGTTCAATTGCTGTAATACCTATAAATGGCATTGAATTACAGTAGTAATGTATTAATCTGAAAAAGTAAGATATCAAAATAGAAACGAACCTAACGCCCATACATCAGCCCTGTTATCGTAAGAGCCTTTGGTGTGGCAGCTGGTTACTATTTCCGGTGCCATCCAGCAAGGTGAACCAAGGCTCGTCTGACGTTTATCCATGGTGCTTGCCAATTCCCTAAAGCCGGATAGTAAATAATTCAGGATAGGTAAATTTTTATTCCGACATTACCTGGATATGCCGAAGTCGACTAATTTGACTTCGCCCTCCTTAGTCAACAGGACATTGCTCGCCTTGATGTCTCGGTGAATCACGTGGTTCTCGTGCAGCATCATTAATGCCTGAAGTAAGCAGTAAACATTTTGAAAGGAAATTAATTCCCGTTAAAAATAGAACATTACATTTCACTGATTTGATTTCCGAGTCATCAGTGGGACAAGACGCCCAAAGGCCAGACAGCTTTTTAATGCCCATGGGGTAAAAGAACATCAATTAGCAATTTTCACAAGGGGTCAGGAAATGAAGAGGCGAGAAGTCGAATTCCTTTCGCCTACTTTTATTCCATTTTTGGCACGAGCTTTTTTAACATCGGGGCCCGTTTAGAGGGCGAAGCCCTTCAAGATGATTGATCCTTTGTTTTGCACTTTTGATATTTGCCTTCTCATCACTCGAAAGTTAGGCGCCATTCAGTATGATCGTTACCGAGAAGGTCTAAGCCAAGACGAAAATTATAAGGACGGTCTTGAACTCTTTTGGAGGCTGGTCAGTCAAAACGTAGTACTGACCGTTAGTTCTTTTTTGTTAAAAGTTTTGTTTTGTTTATTTCAACCATGTTAATTTTGTTCTTTCGAGTAGTATATTGCAGAGACACTTGAACCACATATTCACGGCGAGAGGCCGGGAATGTCGTGTATAAGCAATTAGGCGAGTCGTTAACACCGGTGCCCATTGTTTGATAGATGCCAGGCAGTTACTTCCCTGACGCTCTCCAAGGTAATGATCGAGGTAATTACACAAGAGATGGATGCTCAACAGTTAATCAACTCTTTTCTACATTTCATTACCACTCCCGAGATCATTAGGAATCCAGTTCGAGAAGTCATACAATATCTTACCTCGGAACACCTACTCGACTCGAACTGATGAAAATAAACTTACTTTGAGTACTTCTCGGAGGATGAAGGCGATATGCTCTTCCAGCATCTTCCTGTTGTTTCGCAGTAGTGCACGTACTAAGTCAGTGACCGGGCCACCTTCGCAGAGCTGAAAGAAGAGTTTGTTCTAATACAACTAAATCCAAAATAGAATATTTCGGTTACCTGCATGACGAGCCAGACGTCATCGCTATCACCGTCTTTTCGCCTGTAAGCACCGTAGAAATCCGGTAGGTTTGGGTGGTCTGAAAGATCACGGAGGATTCTGTACTCCTCCTCGATATCGGGAAAACTTTCGGATGTTATCTTTTGAATTTTAATTGCGACATTTTTACCACCTGAAAACACATTTTAAGTACTGAAAAAGGAGATAAAAGAGTACATTCACACAGTCACTTGCCGACTTTCAAACAACATCCCATATTAAAGCAGGTATCATTAACGTTGTGTAAGGAATTGATAAGTTACAGAATAAACAGATAGTTGTGTAAGGAATTGATAAGTTACAGAATAAAAAAATTAATGAATGTTTGTTAACTGAATTAAAACGCGAGATTTCTTGTTGGGCCATTAGTTGGGACGTTTCGAATCTTCTTGGTTTATCCTTGCAGACTTAATTTGTCATCAAGCAATGAAACTAACTACAGGATCAACACCTTGCAACTTATCAAATCTTTAATCTTCTTGAGAATTTGTTCGTTCACAGTAAATTGTAAATGACAAAATAAATAAAAACGAATAGACAAAATAACGATGACTGAGAACGAATAGACAAACAAACGAAGACAAAGCAAGTTTTTGCCTACATTTTACACAATTTCGTCAAGTGGTTATTTACTGAGCAATGGTCAGTGAAGCGGTGAACTTGGCCAGGGTGAGATTGTTCTTTTCTCTTTTCTTCATCCAATTATTGAGCATATGGGTATGCTTAAATATTATTCTGATCAGACTGGTGAAAATGCTGCTAAATCATTTGCTACTTTATTATCTATTTCATTTATCTCAAACACCTCATGCCTTTGAACCAATATATTTTTAGATATCTTAGAGTTTTAGATACTAACAGAAAATAGTCTTATTGTTTCTGACCATTCTGGTCTGTCTATCCTTGTTGGTTTATTCCGTCAGATGCATTCCGTCATTTTGCCATCTTCAGAAGTGTGTTTGATTTCACATTGAGGTCTACAAGGTAATGAACCTGCAGTTGGTAGTTTCAGAACACCCTGCTGCTTTGTCTGTAAGATGTATTCCAGCAATTTTACCATATTCAGTAGTGTGTTTCAGTTTATTTTGACGTCCACAGGGTAATTAATTTGTAGTTTAGTCGTTTCAGATTACCGTTTTTCTTGTCCTCCCAAGTTTGGTCGGATGAATCACTCAGCTTTATTTCATGTCTATTTGTGATTCTAATCCAATCGGTGCAAGTAATGTCTAACTGTTTGCCACGCTAGTGGTTCTGGGCTCGAATCTTGGCATAGCCCATAGAAATAACATAATAATATGAAAAAGTGGTTTGACGTTTTCGACAGCCAACAGTATTCTTCTCTGGAGTAGGTTCGTAGGTTTGATCCTTCTACATGCTATTTCAATTTAATACTGCCATCTGCTTTACGGGCTTATCAACTATTTAATTTTTCCCAAACCTATGATGCTTTTGTATTCACATCAGGTGATCATGTCTTTCTGATTCTGAGTTATTAGGCCCTGGCTGTAATTTCGCGTTTCTGATCAGCCTGTTCTGCCTGTCCTTACTGGTTTGGTCAGCATTGGTTCATTCATCGGAGGTGAGGGTATAATCAGGTAAGAGAACTTCCATCTAAGCGAATGCCGAATCGATCAGACAGACTACAACGAAGATAGGCTGATCAGACTGTTTGTAAATATCATTGACTTGCATAAGTTAACTTTGACATAGAAATTTGATCTAATATTAATAGATTTTAAGATGATATATTAGATTTCTCTACTCTATAAATAACTCTACTCAATATTAATCAAGGGTATTCTTGTAAAGAGGATTTATATTATTGGATTATTGATTATCATTTGAATCATATCTTTTTCTAGAGACGAAGGTTTTGGGTTAATTAAGTTAATATCACCTTCTTGCGAGTCGGTTGCGACGTAGACGTTAGCGTGTACCCCTGTACCGATAATTTCGCCAAGAGTGTACCGATCACCAGGGTCGCTCAGCTTGTCTAAGAGCAGACCTTCCTTTTTCAACCCTTTGCTCATTTTTGCTTAGAATCTGAAATACAAAACGTTAGAAATTATCGTTGGCGTAATTGATTTTGTTACAAGGCAGTTGGGATAATTTGTTTCAATATTGGGGAAATATTTTGAAGGGAGCGAGATGTTGAACTTACAGGCTCTTGGTTTGTCTAGTCTCACTGGTGTTGCCTGGTAGGCAAAAAAGCAACAGACAGAAAACTCAAAACATCGAGACTAGGCGGACCAGCAAAGTCATTGAATATTATTAAATTCACTAATTTCGTGGTCCGCTTGACCAATTAATATATTACAATTAATTAAGGTTTTTAGTTGAGATAAAAAAGTCAATCTAATCAAAAGGAGGGAAAATTCAAAAGGTGCGGTTGAGATGGGAAGTTGGTGTCCGAGTGGATCGAGGTCACGATAGCTCAAATGGTAGAGCAGCGGTGTATCAAGCCGAAGATCGTGGGTTCGAATCCCGCTAGTGCCATTGACTTTTTTATCTCAACTGAAAAACTTAATTAATTGTAATTGAATATTATTTTATGTGATGTAACATGTGCATTGAGCTATATTTTTGTCACTATATTATATAAAATTTAAAGTAATTCGATGTATGATCCCTTAAATATCTTCTTGGTTCGGGAAAAAGTGAACCAAAATTGGGTAACTGGGATATTCTCTCGTACATTCCAACTGTCCGCAGTTTTGTTTAGAATGCATAGAACATCCATCAGGGACAAACGCAGATTAAAAAACTCTTTCTTTCCATTTCCAAAACTGCCAGAATTGATCTTTTTTACCCCTTGCTTATACTGCTAAAGCAGTTTTACCATCGTGCAATTGTTTGTTGAATTTTTGCAGGTTTCTACGAGCGAGATGTGGTGGGTGTTGTAGATCTTCTGGCTCTTTTTGGCCTTATGGAAGTGACCGAGGGTATTTGGCAGTAGAGTACAGAGTATGTACAACATCCATCACCAATAAACTAGTTATAATTATCTCCGCAGTTTCAAAAAATGCACATCCTGAATCTTTTTTCACATTTCACTCCTGAAGCGCCTGGGAAAAACTGTTTGCGATCCAGCCATTGTCCACTGGGGTTAGGATTTCTTCGATAAACCTCCTTTTTACATCAGGAAAATACCTTATCTTGAAAAACCGTTTTCTAGTTAGAAAAGTTACGCAGGATTGACGTTCTTTACCCCCTTCCATCTATTGCTAAAGTAGTTTGACCAAACATGACAGTCTTTTGATAAATTCTTAATCCTCGTGGCCTTTGTACTGGATTTTTTCAAGCGTTTACGATCTAAACTAAATGGTGTTTAGAAGCTTGTTTCCATAAAGACCTAGTTCTTTCTTTATCCACCGGGATGTGACCGAGTATAATCTCGAGTAATTCTTTCTAATTGTTGGCTAGTAGAGTTCATTCTTCCATCGAACATCCATCACCAATAAATTCCTTTTACTTCCACAACATTTTTTACACCCCATCCTCGCAGCTACTGGGGAAACATTGGTCCATGATTCAGCCATTGTCCACTGGTATCAGGATTTTTCTAGTAAATCAACTTTGGTAGGATCTCATATGACATGGACCTTTGGAAAATTTTTCACAACACTTAAAGGAAGTTCATCTGGACCAGTTTACAGTGTCTTTTTCAGCTTTTTAATGTCGAGTAGATGGCCACATGTCTTTTGACTCTTGACTCCCTGGCAAGTATGCTCATACTTATGAATTAATTTGGTTCTACAGCTTGCTCCATTTCATGTATTTGAAGGCTGTATTATCAATGTTAAATTTTTCTAACCAATGCAGCGTGGTGTGATGGAAAAGGGCCTGTTTTCCTTCAGTTTTAGTGATATCTTGTGCTGCTTCAGCCACTGTAAATCCCTTTGTCCAACAATGTAACTAGATCTTTCATTTTAAACAGAATTAATTGAACTTTAGCTCTACTGAGCCAGTAAAACATGTCAACACAAAGTTAGGTAAAAAATTTACACAAGGCTTCACTAAAGTATTGCCGTAGTTACCTTTCTGGTTAATTAGTCAATTTGATTCATTTCGTCATAGGTTTTTAGACCCTATACTTCGAACTTATATTGTTTAATCAATGTTTTTATTCACGACAGACCCTATTTCCATATTTTCAATTTTTGAAAGACACCATTACTGACAGCACACGGCCAAATGTCAAATTTCTATGATTGACGTTGAGATATGGAATATGAAGACGAGTTAATTTTTGGGCGTTGGAGAACAGTTCAATTTAGTGGTCGGGGAGATGGCAATAAATAAAAAGAATGCCTCCTTTCCAATCTGGCCAGGTAGCTTGTCTTCTCATTTACTCGCCGTCACATATCAATTAATCACTGAGTCGTGGAAGAGTAATGCCTCCCGATGTCCTTATGAATGGGCTTCCCACCCAAAGAGAAAAGTTAATATCAAACGAATTAGTTACGATTCAAACCGCTAATTACCTACGAGTTTTCTGAACAAATTACCATTCAAATTCAAATGTTAATATCACCGCCGCCCTCTCTTCTTCATTTTTTTTTTAACCTACACTTTTTGATTTATTCTTTACAAACGTATAGGAAAATAAAAGAGGCGAAGACGGCACTCGCGTTTCTCACCAAAGAAAATGGAGAAAAATAATATTTTTATTCGAAAATTTAAAATTACATGATTATGACTGTTTTTTCTGTTTCCCTTGATAGCATAGACGTCGCAAGATGATGAAAATAAAACTAAAACATAATATTACGTTTGATGAACAAATTGGTCAGGACTGCAGAACTTATAAATACCCTTTTAGGCATATGTTTCCCATTGGGGGTCGCAATGTCATTAGACAATGTGGTTTTTTAACGTGCGTACTGGCATATAGGCCTTATTAGACGTTTAGATTCTCAAGATAGGAACGACACATCTCCGCTCACGGTAGATAATGTGAACACCTTGAGGTTTGGGGTAGAACTACACTAGGACTACATACTAGAACGCCACATCCACAGACTAATTATACAGACATGCCGACTTCTCCCACTTGTCTCTTCCAAACGGATGGGTCAACATTGCGCACTTAACGGTGTGCAGCGCGTAAAGGGATACCCGAAAAGGCTGACCTGCATCAGCCGGTCTCCCAAAGCACTCCCTAGACGACAACTTTCTCCCTGAGTTAGGGGCCTGCCGCGTCGAAACTACCGGATCCGCTCCGGCCGCGGTTTCGTTTAAAGTGGAATTTCTAACCACTCCCCTAGAGGAACCTGCATTCGGAACATGGGCACCACCGAAAAACAAGCTCTTCTCTAAGTACTCGCCAGGAGCCTCACCACTAAGCCACTATGAGTATGGACTGGTACTGGAACGATTTTTCGATGCCCCGTAGTTCAGTTGGTTATGCACCCTCCTTCCGCTAAGAAGACAGGATCGGGCATCCTAACCCCTGTTCCTCTGATTCAGCACCGTTCGCGGCCAGCTAGCAAGCCAACAACTCCCTTAACGCATTTCGAGGGACTGGGTAGACGTAGTTGTTGTATCCTCGCATGCTATACGTTTCCTTCGTCCTATCTTCCAACGCACGTGAAGGGCGCTTAGAGAGATGAAGCGCGCCAGGAAACACGAATACATCTTGTGCTTTAGAAAGTGCGTCACGTTCTCAAAGTTACACCAGTATTTTGTGCCTGGAACCCCCTTTGCAACCTTGGGTTGGAATCTCCTTGGAGCACCCACTGCACAGTCCAGGGAATTGGATTGAGAGAAAAGGAACCTTTACAGGTTACACCAAAGTTTCTAACACGATCTAGCGCTCATTGTTGCCGTAGTCCTTAATCATTAAGGTACGGCTCGTTTGAGGGATTATAGAGATGAGAATGCTTGTTCAGGCGCCGAACAAGTCGAACGTCCTCTTGACCACCCCATCTCAAAGGACTGTTCCACCCCAGGAACCAAGGAAAAATTTGTTGAGATGTGCTTGCCTCCTTTAAGCACAGCTTACCCTCTCAATCTGGATCAAAAGACTACTCGGACAAATAAACAGAAAAGACTATCGCTGGGCAGAAACCTTTTTACATGCGCCATTTATTACAACTGCTGTTGTGTAATTAATTATTTATATGATCAAAACGAAAAGTATTAGATAAAGTCAACATTAAACGATTTTACATGGCATATATTTCTGAAATCTTGAGGATGTTCATGCTAATGGTCATTAGGTTAAAAGCAAAAATTAAAACTTTATATTTAAACTATCTAAACGTACCCATTTCAAAACATTAAAAAATCTAAAGATTGAATCACAGCTTAAATTTAGTTGGATGAAAGCCCTCAAATTAATCCGTACGAATATATTACCATAGTCAGTTAAGGTAAGTTTTGTGGCTAGATTTTCAATGGAAGGTCTTCTTAAATCACATATGTACAACACGTTTTATATTATATAGAATGAAGATTTTGTATTTTGACGTTTCAGTTTCTAGCATTTTAAGGATAGTACACGTTACTACGTATTTATTCCGCTTATTGGGTATTGGTGGATATTCCTCAAAATAATCCACACTAGTATAGCAATTTAGTCCTCGGTACGTTTTCTTTTGTGGACAGATTGCTACTGGAAGCTCTTCTTAAATATTGTAGAAAACGTTTATTATTATATTCTAAGTTCTGATAGCATTGGTTGTCGAATGTTTTAAGAAGAATTCGAAATTTCTTTTTCGTCTGTCTTCTTGTGGAGTGCCGTAGTTTTTTCATGAAATACAGCATACCAACTACGATTTGGAAGAAGATTTTGTATTTGTACGACAGCTGTTTTAGCACCTTTTATTTCGGGAATGTTTCTGTGTATGGGCGAGTTTTAAGCATGGCAAGGAGTATTGGATATAAAATATAGAAATTTATTTAGCAGTATATACAGGGTGTTACAGGTTCAAATGTCAGTAAATAAAATGTTGAAAGTAGAATTATTACCAAATAATAAATGTTTTCAATAAAAATATGACATACGAAGTTCTTGTGTTGCTTCTCTCCATCGGTTCGATATCACGTTTTCCAACTTTGCAAAGTCACTAACAAAAGTTCTAAAAATTCAAAAAGCGAGCATGTCCTTGAAATACTTATAAAATAAGGCAAATTTTGGTAAAATCCTCGAAAATTTGGATGAAAAAGTCCTTGCAGGAGCCACAGTTGAGTTGAGTAACATCTAGGTTTTAGAGAATAATCTTGTGGAAAATAAAATGTAGTTTGCGAAATAAAGGTCAGATTTATATTCTAATGAGGTTAAAGTCGAGAAATTACGATTTTATGTAAAAAATACTGATTTTATACTAAAATCACAAAAATGTTGATATCTCAGGAAAGAGTAAAGAGAGAAACCTCGTTCTGATGGCACTGAACAATGTTTTATTTAGTAAATCCACCAAGGCCGTATTGACACTAGCCCAGTAACACCCTGTATATTCTGCTTATTTGGGTGTTGGTAGATAGTCCCCAAAGTAATAAATACTATGATGGTATATCTACTCTTAGATGCTAAGTCTTTTTATGGTCAGATGGATGCTGGAAAGTCTTCTTAAATTATGTAGAAAACTGTTTTTATTGTATTGTCAGTTCTTCTAGCTTTGGTTGTCAAATATTTTGGGAAGAAGATCGAAAGTTCTTTTTCGTTTGTCTGCTACGGAGTGCCGTATTTGAAAGAAGATTTTGTATTTTGGCTTCAGCTTTTTAGCTTCTTTTATTTCAGGGATTTTTCTGTGTCTGGGCGAGTTTCAAGCATACCAAAGAGCACTTTATAGGATGACGTAAGACTAAATTTTTCTGCATGTTTTCCGCAAAGTTATTGGTGGATGACTTCCAAAATAATCCATGCTACTATGGGGTGGTAGGTACAGTAATCTTTTGACCCAGATTGAGAGAGTTCTTTCTTAATGGCCTTGCAAGTTCTGCAGTCCAAATTAAATTGTACAATGAACGTCATATTATATTTTAGTATGACTTCTATGTATGCGGCGAGGTCTATGTCATCGAGGGAAATTGATGAACGGAATCGGCATTGACTCATAAACGTCAACAGCCCGATTAAAAAGGACTTATTTACCCCTGTAAGGTTTACTTACTTTATCTTGATCTATCTAACTACACTTACTGACACGGCCCCAAAATTCTGAATCATTCATTTATTAATCTGAATATCGTAGAGACTAACCAAAAGAGCTGTAACGCACTTTACAAATTTTTAAAAATAAATTTTTTAAAGCTTCTAGCATTACGTAACACTCTTTGTTTAGATAATTTAAGCTTTTTTGCTTTAAGTTTAAGTGGTGCTTCTGAAAACAAAATTCCTGAAATGAGGTCTGTTATTTTTAAAACTTTTATATCAAAAATTACATGTATTTTTCTGGAATATCGAATTTATTTTATTTGAGCTAGAAAATGTTTTGGAAATCGTTCAGATTACTCATAACCAAACTTCATATATATTTAGAACCAAAATTGACTATTTATTTACAAAAATATTTGAACACTCGAATTTGAATCATACCTTAAAGTCAGTGTGGTTTTTCAGGGCTTGTGGCACTTTAAGCTCTGCCGATATGGACTCTTGAAAAGGGAGCTCTGGGATTTTCAACCAGCTAATTGAATTGACCCAAGACTTTTAACAGGATTACAAGAAGCCATAGCGACGACAAAAAAAGTACAACTGAAGATTATAAACCATGCAAATATTAAAAAAGTTATAAACAAAATATTCATATTGTACGGCATACATTGCAGTCATCATAAGGCAGGGCAGCGCTTAAATCTCTAATCGAGTTGATCTATTTATCCAATTAATTAAATTCGTAGATGAACGAGTCTTCAACAAAACAAGTGTGAAAAAGATTGTTAATATCACTGCTTTAAATATTCCGTTTGTAAATATTCCTGAAATTTATAATTAATTAAAGAAACAGTTCATGAGCTAAGTGATTTCCTTTCTCAATTTTCTATATATGTATTCTACAATATTCTACAATGTATTGGTAATAAACATGTAATTTTTTTTATTTTTTTTTATTGGCCTTATGATTTTGCATATTAGCCATAGTACGAATTCTTGTGTGTTCAAATTGGGGGTTATCGGGAAAAAAGGGCCAGAGGCGACGGTGGGAATCGAACCCACGACCGTTTCTTGTTTTAGATTTCTTTTATTTTTATATGTGTAATTTGAGGAATCAAAAATCATTTTCAGGGGCATTCCATTAATCTAAGCCGCCTTCAAATATATTATGAGTTATTAAATAATTTTATATAATTAATAAATTCATATAAAACGTTGACAATACATGTAATACATAGTAATAAAATAGTATTAACTAAGTTAATATTATATTATACCAGTTGGTCATTTTGTGCAGTTTTACATGTTCTTCTCTCCATAACCATCATAATTTTAATATTTCCTTTTACAAATTTCAATATTTAATTTAACATAATTTATCTTGAAGGATTATTATTTTCATTTATATTTTTTTGTAAATAACATTATGACAAATGGCTGAATATTATTTACGATGTTACCCATGTATGCATGTTTTTTTACTACCTCTTATAATGCCAAATTGAAAGAAAAGTTAAGCTGCATTATTTTATTTTTTTAATCAATAGTGTAACAATTGTTGTAGATAATTAACAAAAAAAAGTTATATGGAGTGGAAAAACTACGCACTGGTACAAACCATACGCGGACAGTAATAGTTTGATTTATAAGATTTTTTCAAGGTTTTTCACTCACTCTCACCAGCATCATCACTGTTTAGGAAATCTCTAGGCCATCCTATTTTTAGTCTACGAGCAGGGTTGGATAAATGATTGAGTTTTTCAATTTTTTCAATTAATGGGTTTGTATGGATAGGAAAATTTTTGTTAAATTTACTGTAACGCATCTGGCAATTCGTGTACAAAGGTTCATCTAAAATTTTGTGTATGATTTCATTTGATGCATACAAATATAGCGTCGAGCATTTTTCGAATAATTTTTGATTGAACAGTATGCTTAAGCACCAGAAATCTAGAAACGTACGTCCGTATTTGCTTTAGAGCAGAGTTGTAAGTAGTCTTTTATTGGGCCTGTGATATTGGGGATTGTACATCAATTAGTTGTGAGAGGAATTTTGATCATTTCATCACTGCTTGTCGTTTTAGGGATGCGTGTTTGGCTGGAAGTCATTTGTCTATATATAGCTTTTTTCAGTTATATTGGTACTTTTTTCTACCAATTTAATACTTTTTCCAACTAAATTAGTATCCTTTCCAAGCAAATTAATACTTTTCCCAAGCAAAATAATACTTTTCCCGAGTATTTTAATACTTTTCAAATGTGGTGGGGTAAAGGGGGATATACTGTCAAGAAACAAAATTTATTATTGAAAATAAGAAAATTAACAAAATGAACATTTTATTTCAAAGTCAATGCAGGGGACATCCAGCAACCGCTGATGGTAATTTCAGTATCACATCGATGAATTGATGGTGTTTACACTGCAACTAATCACTTCTGCAATGTCGTGTTCTGCAGCTGTCCCACCTAAAACCCTCCTGGCTGATGCCTTTATTTTAGAAAAAGCATATTCAGCTGGGTTTAACACTATGGAATATGGAGGCAAGTACTTGATGGTGTGAGAAAACGATTCTACCGATTCTACAACATTGGGTACATCTTGCGTTCTGTGAATGGCTGCATTATCCATTATCAGAATAGAGTTGTTCAACTCCATTGCATTAAGTTTCTAGCAAAGATCATGTAGGAAATCGCAAAATAAATTAGTGTTACAGTTCGCACTACTAATTACAGAATAATGTACTACCTGCTGATTATTTATAGCAAGAACGAGAGTCGCGTTGCGACCACGAACTGTTGGTACGGTGACAACAGCTCTGGTGTTAACCCTTGAACGTGCATGTGTCCGCCGCAAATGTAGATTTAATCCTGATTCATCTATAAAAAATAATTTTGCGCGACCCGTATTTCAAAATCCATTGCAAGCTGCCTTCGTTGTTGTACTGTTGACTCAGAATTCATGCGATATATTTCAATGGACGCACCTTCAAAGTTATTTTTAACGACGTTAGCCCTCGGTGTATTGAAGAAATAGACAAATTTATGTTGCGTAATGCAAGCTGTTCTTTAATATCTTGTAATGATAGACCCGCGTTTCCTTAAATGATTTCCTCAAAGCGGGCTAGAACGTCAGGGGTCAACTTGTGCAGCCGGGGTCCACCTCTTTTTTTAATTACTAACGTACAGTTTTGAGACGTATAATTTCTGTATATACTGTAGCCAGTTCGAGTTTTTTAATTTGATTTTTGAGCTGCATCTTTGACTGAATGACCCTTTTCAATTAATTTTATAAAAAGTTCTTTTTGACGCCTTGATGTAACTGCGAACGTACCCCTGCTCTGTCTTGAACGTTGGACACCGGACGAAGATGAACCGCCTGCAGCACTAGGTGATGTTTCATCATTATGACCACTTATGTCACTCCAGTCACTTCCGTCACTCATTCTATATATACAAAACTCACGCAATGCATACAATAAGACGTGACAAACAACTGAATATTTTAGGGGTAAAGAAACCAAGGACAGGGGAAGAAGAATTTCCTAGAAATCCGTCTGGGAACAATAAGGTAGGTTTCATGTGCTCTATGTCACGCTATGCTCCACATTTTTTCGAATACCTTTTAAATAAGTATTAATTTGCTAGGGAAAAGTATTAATATGCTTGAGAAAGGTACTAATTTGGTAGGGAAAAATATTAAATTGCTTGAGAAAGGTACTAATTTGGTTGGGAAAAATATTAAATTGCTTGAGAAAGGTACTAATTTGGTAGGGAAAAATATTAAATTGCTTGAGAAAGGTACTAATTTGGTTGGGAAAAATATTAAATTGCTTGAGAAAAGGATTAAATCGCTTGAGAAAAGTACTAATTTGATAAAAAGTACCAATTTCACTAAAAAAAGCTATACATCCCTACGAATCCAAAATGTTATTGGAGGAGGGACGTTATTGACATATAACGGACTATTTTGCTGCGAAGAGTAAAGGTTATGTGGGTTGATTTTTCAAATAATTTAAAAATCAATCTTTGTTTCTTGCACTACGATTCAAATAATGGTATCGTCTGCGAAGGTAAGGTCATTTGTGCAGCTGTGCAATGCGCTGAGGGACATCAACATTGGTAGGATAATACGGGAAAAAGGATTGTCTCCAATGACACTTAAAAGTCGATTAGTGAGGTAGTGAAGAAGAGATGACAGTACGAACAGCAAGCCTGGGTGCTAAACTCGATGTGGAACGTAAGGTGGCCATTCACGATAGCTCCAAATGGAACCGCGCCAAGCCGTATAGCTCCATTTGGAGTGCCTGAAACTTGTGGGGCATTCACGACCGCTCCACAGCCAGTCGCTCCGAACGTCATCTAGTGTTTATATATTAAAAGCAAAAACCGAAGAGGAAATGGTGTTAGAAGTGGCTCATGAACAGAAGCCGTAATACATACATCAATTTGATGAAAGATCTTTCCCTTGAACCCGCTGATTGGAGGAACTATTTAAGGATGGATGAAACGTCTTATTTATTCATTATCTTTAGTATTCTATTGACCAAATTACTTCTTTCAATTAATCTTTTTTTGTAAGGTTTTGGTTGAAATGAAAAGCTAGTGCCACGAGCGGGATTTGAACCCATAACCTTCGGATAAATACGCCGCTGCTCTCCCACTTGAGCTATCGTGACTGCGATCCTCTCGGACACCAAAAAATGGCAAAAAGAGGGAAAATTTGAAAGATAGATTGAGATGAGAAGTTGTGGTCCGAGTGGATCGAACTATCGAAGTCACGATAGATCAAGTAGTAGAGCAGCGGCGTATTTAGCCGAATGTCGTGGATTCGAATCCCGCTCGTGACACTATTTTTTCATTTCAACCAAAACCTTACAAAAAAAAGATTAACGTCTTATTTATATTTATTCCAGCTTGTTACCACCTTGGTAAGAAAACAAAAGACAGTCATGAGAGAAATCATCACTCTACATGAAAGGTTGGCAGCCACATCACGTTCTCTAAGTTCACTTAAGTTCTCTACTACGATTTCTGCTCAGCGCTTAGGGATTATCAATACTGCATCTCTCGTTGCATTTGTATCCTATGTTTTGAAAAGGTCGACCATCCGGAGGTTGAGGACCGAATTTCTTTTATTTCTATCGTGGTAATCATTGTCCACCACTTTCCATAAATATGGTAAACTTTCATACAATTCAATCACCTCAACAATAAAATCTCTATTGGATGTCATTGCCAATAAAGAATAAACGTTTTCGACTTTTTGAGAATGTACGACGGAGATGTTTGCTCAGTGACAGGAAGACGGAGACTGCGCCAAAAAAACGCGCATTATCCATTCACGAACGCGCCATGCCGTCGTCGCGCCGTAGATATTTGGAGTGGCGCGATGGAGTTTGGACCGGTTGAATATTCGGCACAGCCGGGCACGCCAGTTTAGTTTTGCCATTGACGTGGTTTTTGGAACGGCGTCGCTCCGTTTGGACTGCTAGGAGCGATCGTGAATGGCCACCTTTAGCTTATGCCAAGAAAAGGCCTAGAACGACAATGCCTCCCTTGACTTTTGTACGACGCGATGACAATGTTGGACAGTTCCAGTGGCAGTTGCGATGGTTGGGAGTAGTATTTTGAGAATTTAGCATTGGAAGAGTTATTTTTAATAGGAGCTTTTCTTACATTTTTATCATAATGGGCATAAGATAGTAACCACTGTAGGGAAGATCTTGTCGCGAAGTTGAAGGTAATCTGGGCGGATTTGTCTGTTTCATTTAATTCTTTTCTTTTCACCAATACTCTAGCAGTATAAGGTGCTGTAAGAGGCTTTCTCCTTGTACATATGTGCACACAAGGAAGCATATTTTATTTTTGTAATCAAAATTGGTTTGACACAGGAAAAAGATGTTGGGTAGAAAAGTAATAGACTTTTTATTTTTAAAAGTTTATTAATTCATTTTCACCTACCTTATGACATTTTCCTACATGATTGTCAATTATTTTATTATTTAAATAACAATATACAAAATTTATATTTAAAAAGTTTAAAGGAGTCGATATACACATGTACATAGAAGAGTATTGACCGAATACAGTGACTTAGCCTAGAAATAAATAGAGGAACGTTACTATTTCTCCAATCGAATCCTTAATAATAGATTAGACACTATAATACTGTACAGGTTCTAGCGAAAAGCCAGGAATAATTGCATTACGACTTTTTTTTTTAATTAGAAAAGTGGTAAAATGGAATGGGATGTACCGGATCAGTGTTTGTAAATTGACCATGTTTTTCCTATGAAAAATAGGTGATCAAATTTACACTTGAGGTCATATTTACATCGACAAATATGTTATTTAATTAATAAAAAACTGAAGCAAATTCTTAACCTCATTAAGAACACTAAGCCAAGTTTAGTGAAATGTTTTTATACTTTTACGTTTTACAAATATAAAACTCTACAAACTTTTGTTTTCTAATTATCATTTTCTATAATTTTTCATTCAGATAAAATTCTGTTTCCCAGCATATACAACCTTTAAATACACCTGGAACAGGTGAAATGTGAGATGTAATTGAAATCCGATCATTTTGTTCCGCCAATCCTCACTGTTTTAGTCTGCCATATCGCCATTTTAAGAGATAATTTTTTATCGACATATTTTCCCAATGACATTCATTTTATACAAATGTATAAACAATTTGTATAATTGAAAATGGAGAAACGCCAAAAAGAACTGACAGGCCAAAAACATGGAAGATAGGCAGACCAAAATGATCGGAAATGACCAAACGGTCACCAAAAAGCTTAGGAAAAACCTCACAAACGTTATTTTTGATGATTATTTTTTGTAGTTACCTAAATTTCTCATATTTATTAAATGAGAAAGAAAGATTTATTGTACAAATCTTAAGCATTTTGATATAATTTTGCGAAAGAGTATCTAGTTATTTCTTTTCTTGTTCTATTGTCCTTTTGATTACGAGTGGCTTTTAGAAAAGAAAGAAAAAGGAATCTTTTTGCAAAATTGTTCTCAGAGCTCAGTAGTTATTTACAGACTGTAATCCATTCGTCCGAAGTACAGTTTCTGCAGGTTACGTAGCAACACCAGTGGAATTTACAGTTGCATCTGTCCGTCTTTCGCCTTCTGATGATGTTGTACCCACGGCCGCAGCATAAGGAGCCGCAACCGTCGACGCCGCGTCCGTTGCGGTTGCATATCCGGCCCGTCGTGCCCGGGACCTCGAGCCTCGTGTCTAGTTCGCAGAAGCTAGGCGATTTCTCGTAGAACAGTATGCTCTCGGCTAAGTCGTTCGCGCGGGATTTCTTCTTCTTTCGTTTCTTCTTCTTACGTCGCCGCCTCCCACGCCTTCTCTCCAGGAAGGTGAATTCGGATCCGCCCTGGTTGCTCTCTTCCACCATGACCGCCTCCCGGAATCTGTCCTTGAGCGCCGCCCCTACGCGTCTGAAGTCAGGAGCCGCCCTCCAGCAGGTCTTGAGCTCGCAACTCCCCGACACACCGTGGCATTTGCACCTGATCTCCATATTTCTAGCGACAGCCTGAAAAAGTCAAAATGCCAAATGATTTCGAGGTCAATGTCATCAACTTGCTCACAGTTTAGTGGGTCAATGAGATATTCACAACATTTAATTCAAATATTATATTGTTTATGATTATAAACCTCAATCAAATTCAGTGAAACGAATAAAACAAACATTAATAGACGGCTTAAGGGAACGACAGTAAAATAGTAATAAAAGGTACTAATCTACTCGCGTTTCCATAATGACTTACATAATTATCAGTTGTTCTTGTTGTTTTAAAGCATTGTCAGGATAACATAGACCTACCAGAAATTCTTGTTGGTTTTTTCATACAACAACTTTATCAAGATACCTCAATTTTATTAATACGTGCAAAGAGACTAACAAACTGGCGCAAGTTCTATCAGAGGGACAGTACTTGCAATGCAGGTGTAAGGGCGTTAGTGCAGTAAGCAGCTCTCAAGAAGAAGAACCTTTAGAATTTAAGGCATGCTCCACTTTGAAAGCTTTTAAGAATATTTCACGGATTTAGGACAACTTAGTTACACTGAGTGTGTGTTGGCTGGAGAACTGGAGAACTTCACTTTTCGATGTTTTGGCAGTACTGGGTCAGACCTCGATCTTATCCTTCCCATTGTCGAGAAAGGCTACAGGGGTGTGTGTGGTGATTAGTGACCGTTAATCGATAATTATTCAGAAATCGTGAGATGCGGTCTGGTGTGATAGGTTTCATAAAAACATTTTCTTTATCGTGCCAACGTTTCGATCTTTATTGAGATCATCTTCAGGGCCTGGGATTTACAAACATTGTTTACATTTAACAAATAATCCTAAATGTATTTGTTAAATGTAAACAATGTTTGTAAATCCCAGGCCCTGAAGATGATCTCAATAAAGATCGAAACGTTGGCACGATAAAGAAAATTTTTTTATGAAACCTATCACACCAGACCGCATCTCACGATTTCTGAATAATTAAGCTACAGGGGATGTCGACAACTAGGTCGACTACAACGAATTTAAAAATTTTTTTTTAACTTAGGCGCACTCATGCCCTCAATCATTACCCCAGTACGCAGTGGATTACACGATTCACATTCTTAAACTATCCTTTGCGCATACTTACTAATTCGTTTAGCCTCAATAAACCCAAAAAAGAACATAAAAAATACTTCCAAAACTCGGAAAAGGAGGTTCAATACTCGCCGCTCTGAAACAAATGATCATATAGGGTGTTACTCCTACTCGCTCTCTATATAGAGCCAAGACACCCTTCAATTAAGTAGGACATATTGGCCAACCCTTCTCTATATAATTTAAATTCTCTCTCACTGATTGTTTCAGTTAGGGACATTCCAGGAAGTTTATCTTTGGTTTATTTCATTTAGCTTGTTATATTCTCTTGGGTTTTTTATTTTTGAAAATATATCCTTTTTTAAAGTGACGTGTATAATGTATAAGTTTGATAGCAACTGCATCTACCTATCTATATTCACTGGTTTTTTGGAATAATCCTTGTTCAAGGATGGTTACAAACCATGACCAGGGGGCCATTTTACCAGTTTCAATGGTTTAAAAATTTTAAAGAAGAATGAGTCGAAAAATGCCCCTTTACGTGACCGCCGAAGCGGGTTGAGAAGGAGACACACTCCCAATCCCGGTTATATGATTATACCGTGTGATGCCGGAATGGCCACAGGTAAAAGGCGTGGAATCAGGCGTACAAATCGGATTTTTCATCAGCGGCGTCCGTCGTCGAGTCCTGCGCGAGATCCGGGTTTCACCTGAGAAGAAATATATACAAGCCCTTCACTGAATGGTCCATAAAGATAAGGAGAGACAAATCATTTCTCTATCAATTTGTTTATTCAGAAGCTATGTCGGAAGTCGACGTCGATCCTGCGGTAGTTGACAGGGCAATGCTGTTGTCAGTTGACTCCCAGGATATTTTATTCTCTTTGACGACAGATATAGCGACGGATTGTCTTTTCGGAATTGAATCGCTATTGGCCAAATGATTTTTCTTCCCGTCAAACAATGAAACCGCGATAGCGTTTTTAAACCTCGATTGTCACAGCGAGAAATGAAGAATCGTATAAAATCCTCTAAGGCATTATTCACCGGAGAAACGGCGGATTTTTCGTGAATGAAGCATTTTTCGGAAAGATCATAAATAAGACAAGCATACTTCCACGGTCGCGTCCATGCCTTTTGTCTAGAGCACACTTTATCTTCCCTGTTAAGCGTCACGTCGGAAGCGGTGGTCCTCCGTGCGGACAGACGAACGGACATTAGAGGGAGCGAGTGGACGTCTACGTGCCCGAGATCACTATCGGCCGCCTAACCGATGACATCACCTACTCCTATTTCAGGTCCTAAAAACAAACTACTACCATTTTTATCCACACCGTCACCCACAGGGCTGACCGTCCGGGCGCTTCCGTTTCTGACTTTTTCCATTTTTCCTTTCACGCACGGCTCATCAGTCTTGCAGTTTAGTATCAGACTCCCTCTTCGCCGTTCCAGCAATTTAAAGCCGTCGTTCAAGCTTTCTTCTCACCCACCACGTACTTAAGGTGTTCATGTTTTGCGATATAAAATGTCCAGTTTAGGTAAAACCAGTTTATAACCAATATTAACTATCTACCCAAAGATTCGTAAAAGACCTAATAATACTAAGAACAAGAAAAATTATAGAAGTAATCAACTAATACTTAAAATGATTCTTAATAAACTTCTAAGTTAGAAAAAGCTTTTTACAAACCCACACACATATGACACGGTGTTTCCTCTACGAACAAAAGAACACATAACACCAAACTTAATGTTAAATGAGTTAATTAGTTACGCTGATAAAAGCTGAGAGGTATCAAGATTTTTTGTTGTTGTTTACCGAACATCAGACTGAAGATGGTAAACATCCACAATGTGACTGACCGACTGAAACATGGAGAGCATGGAATAAGATCAATCAAAATGATCAGAAAGGACCAAGCTATAGGTTCATCTCAAATCTCATAAAATATGACAAAGCATCAACGTCGTCAAGCCAATAAGCTACAAAGCGTTGGGAAAAAACTTAGGTGTAGGAAAAAAGCCGTATCAAATTAATGGCTTGCTTGTGTATCATGGTTGCTATGAGATGATGACGGATACTGGAAAGTGGGGTTTTTCGCTCCCCAGGCACTGCAGCTTTCTGGCTTATTGTTGCTTGCTGTTAAGAACCTGTTGATTTAAGAACTGGCAGACTACTGCACTGAATATGTTACAGTCCTTTTTTTCTAGATCTCATTATTAGCCCTGAACACTTTGACGTACTGCGGGTGACAGACTGCTGGAAACTACTCTTATATATAACTTAACAAAGAATCTTAGTACCAAAAAGTTCATTGGAGGAAGGTCCATTAGCCAACGCTCTATTTGGACCCTGTTGGATTAAAAACCAAACCAGACTCTTTAGCTATATTTTATAGCAGCTTTAGCTATATAGCATATAATAATCAAGGGTTGAAATGACCGTTTTGAAACATAAATAAGCAATTGTTCATTGTGTTAAGCAGGTTAAAGGGTAGGTATAGTATGTAAAACAATAACTTTCTAATGTAATACCACTGGCTTTATGGAATTACGTGAGAGCACTCGAAGAAATAGGAGCACGAAGTGTTCTTATCTGGGTTTCAGGGTGCATAGGACTAAATGATGTTGAAGAGGCTGAACCAGTAATAAAATTTCAAACTGCCATACAAAGTACCTCCCAGAACAGAGGCATGTAAGAATTCTTCATAAGTCACGACCCAAAAAATGTAGGATTTTTGCAAGTTAATTTTCCCTGGAGAAGAAAGGGAAGACACTTCGAATGTCTTTAGAGGAAAAGTTTACTTTGGGACAAAAAAAAGCTCAATCCAAAAAACAGAACCGAAGTTCTAATTTCAAGAGCTAACAAAAAACATGAAACTAATTAGCTTTAAACCATACATAGAAGAATAAATGGCCGTACTTTCCATAGACACCTTAATAACAGCTGTTCAGTTTTTAGTCAGTTTTTGTCATACATCAGAAAAGTCAAGAATTTGTAAACAGCAAGTGGTCTGAAGAAGAACTAGTTAGTATGTAAGCAAATAATAAATAAATTGTAAGATTTAATCTTGGTGATTTGGTAGCGAATTTGAAATTTGGCTCAAAAATCCAACACTCAACATAGCGAAATGCACACCAAAATGATTGGTAACGACCAAATTCGTACCACATATAGTTTGGTCTTTTTCGATCAGATTCAGCATTGAAAATTGCCGAAACGCGTCTAACAGACCAACCCTGCGAGGGTAGGCAGACCCAAATAATTGGTAACGACTAAATTGCATTCAATGTTGTAGTACGATGATCGACTTTCTCTGAAGACCGCACCCAAAAAGTCGCCGCCGGCTTACATCGCCTACATATAAAAATTCGCTCTGCATCGATTTCGTTTTTATTATGCCAAAGGAGACAGACCAGGGGAATGATGCGGTAGGCGTCTGATGGACGGCCCCTCCTTTCACAATATTATTGTCGAGGTAATTGAATTTTAATTTCGGAAGCTGGAAGCTGTTTGGCCGAGGAAGGTAATGGCCACCATTCTCGTTGGACATACATCAACCCGGTTTTTTAATAGCTTCTCCGTCACCATATATCCATCTTGTCTCCGGCACGAAACACTATTACGGGCATTGATTCTTCTGGCAAATCGGGGTCGTGGGTGAACTGGTGATGTTAACTGGGCGATTATCACTGTTCTTCGTTTATGAAAGAAACGCACAATGGAGTTCGTTGTTTATGGATTATTTAAAAAACAATTATAAGAAATAAGTTGGTAGTTTTTGATTTTCCTGGTTAGTCTATCTTCTCTGATTCGGTCTCTAAGACACTTTCAGTATTTTGCCACTTTCAGAAGTCGGTGGTAGTACGTTTATTCAATAGGTTACAACATTACTACAATAAACATTTGACTCTTCCGACTATAGAGAAACTCTGGAATTTGGTCGTTACTGATCATTTTGGCCTTCATACCTCGCTGGGTTGGTATGTCAGACGTGTTTCAGCAATTCGCCATCTTTATTGAATCGGCTGAAGAGAACATATACAAATGAGAATTCTCACAAAGGCAACACTGAAAATGTCGAAATGCCGAAACATATCTAACGGTTCTACACTTCCCGGATATGCAGAACAAACTACCGGTTCATCAAGCAGAACACAGAGAGGCATATTACAACATATTAAATATATCTTCGCAGACTAAAAGATAGGAAATGAGCAAACCGAAGGTTCATCACCCGTTGATCCAAGATTTTTGACGGATTAATAAAAAAGCGAGGACAAGCTAACCAGGATGACAAGGTCCAAACTACACATTCTTCACCTCACTAACCAGTAGAAATCATCACACCATTCATTCTTACTTTTTCTGGCAGACCACAAGGCTATAATCCGTTGAGACAAGATACGACTTAAAAGCCGGCGAAATCTTTTATAATTTAAAATTATGCTACGTTCTTAAATATACGCAGACAAACCAGTATCGGATACGAGTAAACTGCAGGTTTATCAGCCCATCGTACCCACTGTATCTAGGATATGAGAAACCAGCTACAAACAGCAGGGGACCCAGGCAAGTATTGTCAGATTGCAGTCCACAATAATCCAAAATGACCAAAATGCAAGACCACTCGACCAATCGAAAGCGATCCAACTTCAGCTTCATACCCGGCATACCTCTCTTGAAATGAAATCTCACAATTCATCCTTTCTTTTGCTCTACCATAATATAAGTCTGATAAGATTCCCAAATCACACCATTTCTGAAATCACACAGAACCAATACTGCAAAAAACACTGACTGACAGACTAAAACAGCTAGGATAAGTAGATCATGACTGTCGGTAAGGACAATTTTTTTCAAAAGCTCTTTCGGCTCCTTCCCAATTCGGCTTTGGAGCTATTTCCTCTTTTCTCTCTCACTATGGGGTTAATGTTTCATTGCTCTTCTTTTGGCAATGATATGTGCGTGCGTTGAGGTCACCCTGCAATTCTTGATCCATGTTATAAGTCCGATTCGTTGGATTGTATTCTATTATGGCTTTGTTATTGTTGAGAGTGTTTTGCTTATCTGGCAACTTGGTAATAATGGTAAGGAGAGCGCTACTTTTTTCAAATTTTATATTGTAGTACACGCTTCGAGACTATCTCCGTTATTTTAACCGTGTGTTAAACATCAGATCGAATCATAAAACCAACCCTATTTATATCACTTTAATGCTCGGCTTTATGTACCGAGACCTTTTACCAACCATTTTTTTCCGTTGGAGCATTAAAAGGTTCTTCTGATATGTATAAAATAAATTATGCATGCTGATAAAAAAAGAAGTGCAATGTAAATAAATGAAACATGTTCTATTTCAACGTATCGGGTTTAAACGTCCAGAAGTTGTATTAAGCTAAGCAAAGGGAAACGAAAACATGAAAGCCACAATTGAAAAGAAAACAGCTCGAGACCCGAGCGGCTAAAAAAGGGTCGTTTATCACTTGAAAAAGCCAGGTGTGTAAAATAAAGTTGTTGAAATATCATCCTGGTAGGTGGCAAAAGCGGGTAAAATAAGACATCTCCTTTCATAAAAGGATGTTCCGGTGTAATTGTGAATGATTGTGATCGGTCAAGCGCCTCCGGCTCGTCAAATGTTTGGAATGCGCCTTCCTTTGAAGATGCTGCGGTAGGGCGGACCACTAATGTATGGTAAGTAGGTGTTAGCCGGCATGGGCGGCTGTTATAACACAAAGAATGGGACGAGCGATTGGTCACGGGGGCCGACTTTATGAAAAACGGGAGTGGGACCCGGTGGGACTAGACCGACTATCTTCCTACCGTGCTCTTCGACATTGTCAACTCCCAAATGATTTAAAGAGTTCAAAAGTGTCCAGTCTAGAAGTTTGTAACTAATAAAATCCGGTTCCTGTGAAATTATAGAGAGTCATTTGAATGGAGGGCACCTTTTTCATATCTTAAACAAATCGAGAATATCTTATTCTATATAAAATACTTATGTATAATATAAGTAAATGATATGCAGGATGTTAACTTTAACCCGTGCTAGAACGTTTTCTCGAAGTAACGTGAATGACTAACAGAACGTACCACGAAAGTATACAGTAGTCCTACTTTTAGATGTCGAGGTCTTTTGACAAATTTGGTTCACGTTAAGTTTAAAATAAAAAGCTCCGGGTTTTTGCTCTACTTACATGGCATACACTTAATTCCTAACCAATTGGACTGCAGTATGTTGGAGTAATTAATCAATAGAGTTGCACATAACGCTCAATGCTCCTTCCGATTCTCTATGACCTATAGAGACAGCTTCACACTGAGATCAAAAGGGACTATTGTCATTTTACAAGAACCAGAAAATGAATACAACTAGGGAATCGTATCAAAGGAGTTGACCGTTTATCCAAGATATGAAATTGATCGCTAAAACATAAGGGGTTTAAGTCATCAGATCAGGGTTATAAGCGGGGTGAGGCAAGGCAGATACTTCCCCCAAGCGCAATTACAATGCTGCATTGTGGAGGGCAGAGATCTACCAATGAATTATAAAAAAATTTATTATTAAAAATTATTAGCCTTGCAAGAAGTGAACAATTAAACGCTAATTTCACAAATTTCTCCCTGATGTCTGTGGGGTGGTGAATCTGTGGTCTGGTCAGCGTCATCATCACGCAAACCACAAGACGTTTTTTAAGTTTCGTGTGGTAATGAAGAACCTGTAGTTTGTTTCGGAACAGACCCATTACTAAAGATGTCGAAAACCTGAAACGCCCTTAACAGAATACCCCAGCAAGGATAAGAAGACCAAAATGATAGGTAATGTACTAATGACCAAATTACAGTTTCTCCAACCCGCAGACCATACGAAAAAGTTAAGTTTGATGCAGTCGTGCTGAACCTGTAGTATGGTCGTTTCTGATCAGACCCAACATTGAAGATGGCAAAATGCCGTAATGCGACCGACAGGCAAAAACGACGATAGGTGAACCATGATAATCAATATCCACTTAAATTTTTTCAATCATTATTCAAATTTTTATTTGTTTGTTTTATTCAAGTGTTTAGGCTAAGAAGATCAATTCAACCCTAGTCAACATCGTCCCGGACAGAGCAGCTCGTTTCTGGTGATGTAACAACACATGATGATGTATAACCTGGGTTATTAATCTTACATGAAAATGGATTTGCCCAGCAAAAGTCACCTCTCCGTTTAAAAGTATCGGTAGGAAAATCCACAGTTGACATAAAAAATGTTCCAATACGAAGTCCTGGGCCTAAAAAAGTATACGACGTACAACTACAATCGTCGATTCGTCACCAGATATCAACTCTAGTAGAAGGAAGTCATCATTCCTGTTAAAACCCTGTCAACACCAAGACAGTAATTTATCTATGGTTTTTATGAGTAAGTCTCATTAATTTCCAACTACTCCAATAATCCACTATGGTTAATCAAACCTTAAACATTCTCGTAGTGCCTGTACAATTGCAAAATATAAATTGTTTCTACACCTTCAGCTTGCGGATTTTTTTTTTATGGACATGAGTCATTAGCTTCGACCCAATGACTTATCCACTATGTATCAAATATGTGTACTTCAAGTTTAACCAAATTTAAGTAGTGTTCCTGTCATTAAGTTACAACTATTGATTAATCTGCTATGATTGACCAAATATTACATATTCGTCTAATTCTAGGACAATTTTCTATGAACGATTTATTTTTATACTACTTCATTTATAACTATAGTTAAATCAAAAATCCCTGGACCTGTTTTGGTTAAAACCCTGTGATTGAATCCAATAAAAATTGTAAACTTTGCAATCTTTTTCAAGAAGAAGGTGTTTGATTATCATCTGATACTTACAAGTCTCCCTGCTTCGTTGTTGTGGAGGTTGACCCGAGACTGGATGTCGCCGTTATTGCTCTCCCGGACATCAAGGAACTTTGTTGAGAAGTCGATGCCGAACTGTAGGTTGTGGGAGCATCCACCCCATTTCCAAGATTTCGATGTACTCCTGTGCCTGGAAAGGGGTTCGCAGCCGCACTCCAGAATCTTTCCTTGGGCGCAGGACCGTGCGACGGAATGAGCCACCCCCGCCGACGTTATCGCGTGGGCGAAACCCGATTCGCGGTACCCTGAAAAAAAAACAAGCTGTTGATAATTGACATCGAATACATGACAGTTATATCGGTAGGTAGACTTTTCGAACTGTCTCTTTGGTTTTGTGAATGGTTCGTTCGAAACGATTTCTAAAAGGCGACGACTATCTCGGATTCCGGAGGAGCGACTTTCCTCTGTCTTCCCATGCTTTCAAGGTGGGACAGTAATTTAGGCCCTGGAATCCGATATAAAACTTTTGGGTCAAAATAAAAAAGAGACGGACAGCGGCCCCTTGTTAAATAAGTCATTGTTGATCTTTTCTCAATCACCTGGAAATATCTCTGATGAATTAACGACATTTTCAATTCTTTCGAAGTTGAACTTTATTACGTTAGATTCAAATGATCTATTGGGTTGTCCGGAAAATAATGCAGGTGTTCATGCTTTCTTTCATTTACTCCTCTATATCAACACTTTTTAATCCTCTTCCAAACCAAAATGTTTACTTCAATAGCATTTCGTTACATGAGAAAAATTTAGTCTTTACTAAGATGTCAACGAGTGATTTTCGCATAAGTTTACAAGTTTAAACTCGGTCGGAATGGTGCCTAAACGGCCAGAAACATTAATAAAGTGGCAGTGTGACTGAGACCACCGTTCAAAGATGGTTTAAAAATTTTCGGGAGGGAGACTTTAGCCTTGAAGACAAAGAAGGTCGTGGAGGAACTTCTTCTCTTGATGATGCCGTTCTGAGAGCTTTGGCCGAAGAAAATGCCAAAACAACTGTTCGAGAACTTGCAGAGAATCTTTCAGTTAGTAAATCGACCATCGCTGAACTCCACGAAAAAAATCATCGTTATGAAATTTGGCGCATCACTTCTTTGCCGAAACAGAAACGAACCTTTTCTGGCTAGAATTGTTACTTGTTGAAAAATGTATTCTCTACGATAACATCAGATGTTCTGGTCAGTGGCTCAACAAAGGAGATGCAGCCCCCATTTTCCAAAGCTACGAGCTTATCAAAAAAGGTGATGGAGACTGTTTGGTGGGCATAATTTGGGCTGATTTTCTACAGCTTCCTTAATCCTGGCGAATCAATCAATGCCGAAATGTATTGCTGTTAAATTGAATCAATGTATCAGCAATTGGCATTACTGTAGTCATCTTTAGTCAATCTGAAACAGGCCGATTCTGACACAAAAACTGCTGGATCTTGGTAATGAGGTTCTGCCTCACTCCCTATTCACCAAATCTCTCCTACGGAAACTGCCATTTTTTCAGATACCTGGACATTTTACAACATAATAAATTTATTGATCAAGAGTTGATAAAAAATGCGTTGACAAAATTTGTTATAATAAAGACTGACAATTCTATTCAGAGGGTATAGAAAATTTTTCATCATGTTAGGAGAGGTGTATTGAGAATAATGGAGAGTATTTTAATTAATAAAAAATGTTTAAAATCATTTAGCTAATTGTTTCTATTTTATAACCATAAACCTGCATTAATTTCCGAACATCCCAATAAAATAAAATATTTGATTTTTTAGTAGCATTAAAATTAAATAACAGCGTATTTTGTTGCGTTGGTGTAAGTTTAGGTATTGTATGTTGAATAAAAAGATTGATATTTTGAATAAAGTTTTCAAATAAGAAATACAGCAAACTCAAAGCTGTGATGATCTCAGTACATTGAACAAACACAGTTAAGAATGGGCCGGGTTTAAGATTGTGTAAGTTTTTTCAAGGCGGGATCTCATCCTATTTTTCACGGTTTGTTTCTCTTCAAACAGGATTATCAGGACCCGAGGAAAGAGTGGATATAGGACGGACGTTTGTCATTCAGGGGAGCGCCAGACAAATATTGTCCTATGCTCCATCGAAAGCCAACTTTGCCCAAGGCAAACAAATGTGCTCGCCCGTCCCCCGGCTCTGGGAAACGAAGAAAGGAGAGGTTTTTTGAAAGTTTGCCTACGGATTAACGTCCGGCCAATTAACTCGTTTTAACAGCCGATTAGAAAGAATGTGTTAAAGGACGGTGGCGTCAAATTACCGCCTTCCACACGTCTCAATTACCTCAACTTGAAGGCAACCGCCACCGTACAAATTTTGACGCGATTAAAGGAAAATGCCGAAAAGGTCAACATGATTTGTGTTTACAAGCATTTCGACCCATAGCAGAAAAAAAAATATCTAGACCATGGCTTCCCAAACTTTTCAGCTAGACCCCTTTCTCAGATCAAAATCCATGGCGTACCCCTCTCATTGAAGAATTTAAAATTATACACATATAGTATGTAGTAAAGTGAATTTTCATAAATTAGCCAGTCCATTCCTAATTAGGTGATAGAGGGGGATATCACGAAGAAAACAAATATTAGATTGACATATTTAACTTTATTTACAAAATTTGAAACACAAAAATCAAACTGGACAGAACGGAATCAGTAGGTAGGCAAAACTCGAGCAAATTCAAAAGTAATAATTTGAACATTAATAATTAAATTCACTAATTTCGTGGTCCGCTTGACTAATTAATATATTACAATTAATTAAGGTTTTTAGTTGAGATAAAAAAGTCAATGGCACGAGCGGGATTCGAACCCACGATCTTCGGCTTGATACGCCGCTGTTCTACCACTTTGAAAAACTTTGAAAAATGGCAAAAAGGAGGGAAAATTCAAAAGGTGCGGTTGAGATGGGAAATTAGTGTCTGAGTGGAGCGAGGTCACGATAGCTCAAGTGGTAGAGCAACGGCGTATCAAGCCGAAGATCGTGGGTTCGAATCCCGCTCGTGCCATTGACTTTTTTATCTCAACTAAAAACCTTAATTAATTGTGATTAATAATTAATGAATTAATTGGAAGAGTGAAGTAGTATAATCTTGCACGATTTGGATATGTTGGGTCTTATAAAAGATGACTGTATGATTGGTACGCCTTTTACATACACATCTGACGAATAAAACCACACAATCTACAACTAGAATTTCTCGTTTCTTCTAAGAAGAACCCCAAATATTTTCAATTTGCTGGGGACGTGAGTTTTGATTCTTGCTCCGAGAACTCCGGTGGCAAAATGTCCATCGTAAGTGCCACAGCACGCGCAACATCCTCAGCACTAAGTGGCATTTCAAAGTTTAAAAATTGAAATAAAAAATAAAAAAGATGAAAGCTAAACAGTTTATTGCTTCAGAATTCAAATGAGATTGAATAAACATTAAAAAATCCATAAAAAAATTGAAAAATCCTTTATTCTTCTTTTGTATTACGGATTAAGTGTATTTACGTTTAACTGATATTCCCAATTTAAAACATAGCATAAACAAATATTTTCGGAATTTTCTTTTATGGAGAAAATGAAAAAATCAATTGGGTGGAATTTTTTGCCTGTCAGTGTATATATAAAATACAAAGGCAAAAAGGAGGGAAAATTCAAAAGGTGCGGTTGAGATGGGAAGTTGGTGTCCGAGTGGATCGAGGTTACCACGATAGCTCAAGTGGTAGAGCAGCGGCGTATCAAGCCGAAGATCGTGGGTTCGAATCCCGCTCGTGCCATTGACTTTTTTATCTCAACTAAAAACCCTAATTAATTGTAAAATACAAAGGGTTAGTTTTTACCAAGCAGACTGCTACCACTGACAATAGTGCAATATCAACACAAAAACTCTAAAATATCTCTTAAATTTCAGTGCAAAAAACCCATTTTTCGTTCAGAATCTGCATAGAGCCCTGTTAAAATATAACGTTATTTCAAAATCGTAAAAAATAATAATAAGCCGGAATCAACGACGATTAGTTATGCGGGTTGATAGAAAGCCCAAGCGGTAAGGCGTGCAAGTCGTGGAAATAATAAATTCTCCAGGCGAGATTAAAATATAAGTTTGTGGTGTTGTAAGAGCGTAGCGGCGAAGATTGATAGCGTCCGAAGAGAATCGGCCAATCGTAGCGAACGTGAGATGACCTCCCTAATCATTCTATTTATGTATTCAGGAGACCACCTGGAAAGTTCTACCTTTCTAATACTTCCCTCCCCCCTCGGAAGCGACTCGACGGCCGGCGGTTCGGATTCGCTTGTATATTTATCACGTATCGAGTATCGATTTACCCTGCCTCATTTCCTGATTGGTTTCGAGAGACGGATTAATAACTCGCCTTTTTGCTCCTGGAAACTGGTTTTTCCTCTCGGTAATTGATTTTGAAAGGGGGCGGCGCAGTGGAGGGAAATTACACGCGCGATTTTGATATTGTTTCTATCTATATGTTCAAAACATACGAGAAGACACATTTGTTATGGAATTTCATTGCTCGTCTATCGCACTCTGTAATCGAATATAAATCGCAATGTCTCGCTATGCCCCTCTATAGTAGAAAAGGTTTGTGATATTTCTCTATCTATATATATTGTAATTTTAAAAATACAACTGAAGCTTTACTACAGCTGTCAGAAAAAAGTCCACAACGTTGTTGAAAAGATACAGTTTTTCACATTAGGTATCTTAGTAGGAACGTGTCTGTTTGGTGTTGATGCTGTAAAATCCCTATAATCCAACATGGTTTGATCTGCTTAAAGAATGAAAAATTTATCTTCAGTGATGAAATTAGAATGCAGTTGGAAAAATAAATGAAGAACATAAGAAAGACTGATTTTTGACATGAGAATGTTAAACAAAAGTGACTAAATGCTCCAGAGTGGAAATGTTGCGAGGATGTATCGCTCTCCTGTTATTCTCCTCGATGAAGATCAAGTTAGTGAGACCTTCCATAGAAATGCCTGCTCAAACCATAGCTTTTCCGGAGTGAAAATGTTGCGGGGATATATCAATATTCTATTCTTTTCCAACCTTCTGTCGGCAGTCAGACGACCTCACAAAACCTTGACTCGTCCGAAAACAAGATTTCAGTCCTACCCGAGGTGTACTCCGCCTTGCCAGAAGTTCTGGACTAGTGGCAGGCCTTCTCGCACTTAATGAAGATGAAGTTTGTGAGACCTTCAATAGAAATGCCTGCCCAAACCATAGCTTTTCCGGAGTGAAAATGTTGCAGGGATATATCAATATTCTGTTCTTCTCCAACCCTCTGTCGGCAGTCAGACGACCTCACAAAACCTTGATTCATCCGAAAACAAGATTTCAGTCCTATTCGAGCTGTACTGTGCCTTGCCAGATGTTCTTGACTAGTGGCAGGCCTTCTCGCCTTAATCTAGCTTCTGAAAGTCTTCGCCTTACGTAAACTGACATTAACTAACTTGTTGAAGATTTCATTTGATCTCAACAGCGGTAGAATTTCGAATGCGGCGTACATTCGAAACAACAAAACGATCATATCTCTGATCCATGCTTTCCAGGATTTTGGTAGCGATGGAAGACCCTTTGGGCAATTTTTTCTGGGAACGTTAAACATCCTGGCCACATAGCTGACTTTTCCATTTTTCAACAATTATATGGTACTAGTTGAATCTGTATCGATTAAAACAATCATTCAAACAAATTTGAAATTTAAAAATGGTACAACTTACAAAAATCAAACCACCGAAACGTTAGAAAAAAGTTTTATAGAAAACCAACAAAGATCCAATTTAAAAAATTTAAAACTCAAGTGGAAGATTCTATCTGTTTTTTTACCTCTCATTCTTTAAAACAAATATTATCGAAGGATAATCAATGCAGGATCGTCTAAGTGTTAATTAAAAATATTAAGGGTCGCCACTTTTTTGCCTCTCATTGTAACATGGCATATTGAAAAGTCTTACGAAAATGATATTCATCAATATTATCTATGAAAGACTAAATGCATAGGCTAAGGATCACTGTTTTACCAGTCGTGCAAATGGACTTCACGAAGGGAAGAGGATGATGAATGATAACATATTTATATGAGGATTAGTCTCTTTTTTATGCTAAAAAATAGAAAAATCTTATGCATACTTTATTCATTTAAAGAGAGCATGTGATAGTGTCAACCATAAAATGGTACGGACTTTATAATGTTGGAATTAGAACAAAATTACTGCCGATCATTAGGGTTTTGTATGTTCCTTTACTACCAAGGAATTCCGGTATCTGAAGGGGTGTTACTGGGCAAAGTTTGAAGCCCCTTATTATTTTCTCTCTTGTCGATATTGCTAAACTTTTCTCCAGTACTTTTTGTCTGCATTATCATTATTGTAGGAGTGAAAATTTAAGCTGTTACTTCTTACAGTCATGGGGTTATTAAAATTGTGTAAAAATTATAAACGGGATTCACAGTTGGGAATGTTGGGCACCTAAATTCACTATTAGAAACTGAACAGAATATTTTCTCCTCCTTAAAATAAACGAATAAAGTTTTTTTAGTTTAGTTTTGTTGACATAATAGTGAATAATGTATGTACTTTACGACATTTATTTTTTCCTATTTTCTGATTGCCAACATTATAATCATGCGTATTTAATAAACGTGAGCAGCCTCAGCATGATTGTTTTGCACTTTCATTTGCTTATTTGGTACTATACGCTAAATTTGACTGCACGAAAACTGCATTTTGAAAGTTGCGAAGAAAAACGCTCTGTTCTTGTAAAAAGGGTTTTCCAGAAAGAGAAAAGGGTGTCAGAGATCTCAAGGCTGTTGAACAAGGCCGCATTCCTGGATGAAGCCAAAAGGAAGAAAACATGGACGGTCGAGAGGGCAGAAATAAGAAGAAAAGGAGTTATCAATTACAGAGGAATTGCACCTGGACTTCAACAACCGCCTCGCGACTAAGAACTTCTATAAACAACCATAATTACATCCTTACGGTAGCACTCCTTAAAAGACTTTCGTTCCGCCAATTTCATTCCTTGAACGCGCCATGTGATCTTTATGGCAGCGCTGATTGAACATTGGAAATCGCAGTTTAGACTTCAATAATTCCGCCTTTGTCCGGAGAATCCTACAAAAAACAAGGAATTGGGAAAGAGCAGTAAGGACTAGATGGTTTGCAGTCTTACACAACGTAAGACGTCAAAAACAACGCGTGATGAGGAGGAAGAGAAGAACAGAGATAAAAATGTGAAGTAGTTTAATAAAGAGATTTAGTAAGCTTGTCCCGACAGTAATTTTATGTAAATGTCCACTATTACATCTTGTTTTTTAGTGGATGTGTTCTTCGCGCTCTCTTCCTCAGCTTCGGACTCGCTTTGATTTCACCGTCTGATATGCGCAAGATTGTTCTCTTCCTTCTTCTCAATATCTTCGTAACCTCGTGCCAGTTCTGTATTGTTTAGGTACGATATGGCTTAATTATTGAGTAACTTACACTTTTAACATATCAAAACATAGACGAACTGTAGTTTACATTGTAAATATTGGGTTGGCCGGAAAATAATGCAAAGTTTTATGTTTTCTTTCAATTACCTCTCTATATCATAAACTATTTATGCTTGATAGATTATTCTTTTTTAGGAATGTCACCACTTTTTAATCCTCTTCCAAACAAAAATATTTGTAGCCTCAGTAGCATTTCGTTATTGGGAATAATTCAGTCTTTTCTAAGATGATGATTTCTAAGATGTCAACGCGTGATTTTCGCATAATTTTACGAGTTTAAACTCGGTCGGAACGGTGCTCAAACGGCCAGAAACATTAACGAAGTCTCGTAGATGGTTTAGCGATATTTAAAAAACTTCAAGGCGGAGACTTTAGCCTTAAAGATAAAGAAGGTCGTAGAACGATTTCTTTCCTAGATGATGATGTTCTGAGAAGAAAATGCCAGAAAATCTTACCGAGTATCTTTCAGTAAGCAAATCGGCCGTCGCTGACCACGTTAAGGCAATTGAACAGGTTAAAACGCTGGAAAATTAAATTCCTCATACATTAAACGACCACCAAAAACAGCAATAGTTTTGAAGTTTTCGCAATGCTTCTTTGTAGAAACATAATCGAACCTTTTCTGAATAGAATTGTTACTTGTGGTACACTTTTTAATCCTCTCCCAAACAAAAATGTTTCTTTATGTCAGTGGCATTTCATTTTTTGGGAATAATTTAGTCTTTACTATATATCAAGCGTGTTTTTCGCATAACTTTAGGAATTTAAACTCGGTCAGAACCGTGCCCAAATGGCCAGAAAAATTAATAAAGTGGCAGAGTGAGTGACCACCGTTCAGAGATGGTTTAAAAAATTTCGAGAGGGAGATTTTAGCCTTGAAGACAAAGAAGGCCGTGGAAGGACTTCTCCCTAGATGATGATGTTCTGCGAGCTTTGGCCGAAGAAAATCCCAGAACGACTGTTCGAGAACCAGCATAGAATCTTTCAGTTAGCACAGCGGCCACCTTAAGACAATTGGAAAGGTGAAAAAAGCTAGAATATTGGGTTCCTCTTGCATTAAACGTCCACGAAAAAAATCATCGCTATGAAATTTGGCGCATCACTTCTTTGCCGAAACTCAAACGAACCTTTTCTGGCTAGAATCGTTACTTGTTGAAAAATGTATTTTCTACGATAACGTTCGACGTGCTCACAGCGACTCGACAAAGGAAAAGCAGCCCATTTCCAAATTCCCTAACTCATCAAAAAAGGTGATGGTAACTGTTTGGCCGGCTTCCTTTGGGCTGAGCGGATCATAGGAGACTTTAGCCTTGAAGACAAAGAAGGCCGTGGAAAGACTTCTTCCCTAGATGATGCTGTTCTGCGAGCTTTGGCCGAAGAAAATCACAGTACGACTGTTCGAGATCTTGCACAGAATCTTTCAACGTCCATGAAAAAAATCATCGTTATGAAATTTGGCGCATCACTTCTTTGCCGAAATAAAAACAAACTTTTCTGGCTAGAAATGGCACTTGTGGTAAATTGTTAAAGTGGATTCTCTAAGATAACATCAGACGTTTTGGTCATTGGCTCAACAAAGGAGACGCAGCCAATATTTTCCAATGCCACAAACTTATCAAAAATAGGTTATGGTGACTGTTTGGTGAACTTCATTTGGGCTGATTTTCTACAGCGTATTGAATCCTGGCGAATCAATCATGCCGAAATATATTGCTTTCAAATTGAAGCAATTCAGCAGAAATAGGCGGTGTTGAAGCCATCTTTGGTCACTCGGACAACGTTTTACAATATAAAAAATTGATTGATCAAAAGTCGTTAGAAAATGCGTTGACAGAATTTGTTAATAATAAAGACTCATAATTCTATTCAGATGGTGTAGAAAAGTGGACATCTCGTTGGAAGAAATATAATGAGTGTGCCAGAGGGTATTTTCATCAATAAAAAAATGTTTAAAATCATTTAGCTAATTGTTTTTTATTTTATAACCATAAACCTGCATTTTTTCCGGACAACCCAATAGATTTTAGGTGTAATAATGAAACAAGAAATACCATAGCAGAAGTATTCTAATTGCTTTTCATAAAATTTTAAAAACAGTAGCCCGAATTAAAAAAAAATTCAGTCAATTTTTTATTACTAATTTAATTTTCTTATAACAGTATGAGTAGAATTTTGATCGAGCTAGATCACGATATTTCGGACATACTAATCTTTGGGCATTTTTATTATATTTTTATATGGATAATAAAGATTAGCAGCACTTGGTAGCTTGGTGTATCGTTTGGCACTGGCTTACTCCTCTACTTTCTACCAGATAAGATAAAAAAAATTGTAATTCTTTGTACCTCTTTTTAAAATGAAGCTGGTATGTGGGTTTTTGTTTTTGGTCATAAGCGAAGAGCAGTTCCAGCGATGCCAACGGAACTGGAACTGGCACTCTTTGACGGCCGTCGCCAGGCCCTGCACCGCTGCCATCGTCAGCTCTGGGTGTCTTCTACAGACGTCGATCTGCTTCCTCTCGAGTCCGGCGAACGTCCTGCAGACGGTCGAACCACGGACGACAAGGCCGGTGCTCGTCCTGAAACGTCTCAATGTTAAAAAGCGAATTAAAGTTAAAAATGAAATATTTAGGACAGATATTTTTTTTAAATGTGTGACCTTTAGGTTTTCCTCCCCAGATTTTCGCCTAATTGTCACCCGGAATTAAAGATCAACGGGCCGAGTGATTCGAAATAGCCCAGTGAAAAAGATGAAAAGAAAACGGTGGATAATTACCGGTTTGACTCCGTATATAATGCTCAGCTCCTTGGCAGTCCTTTTTCTATCGCGACAATAAATCTACCTCCTCAAGCATGCGTACGCATTCCACCAAAAACATTATCTAAGTTTTATTTTGATTTAATTTTTTATGGCAGCCAGATTTTTTTTAATTCTTCGAGCGGGACGTGAAATGGCAGGGAAAGTAGGCGATTCCCACCTTTAATTTGAAACCCCGACGTTTTGACAATTTTGAAACATGCATTGTTTTGAAATCTCAATTTTAAATTTAGATAAGCTTGGCTTTCGCTTCAAGTTGACTCAAAGAAATTTAAAACAATGTTGCAAACATATGCCAGATTGGTCGTTCACCAGGAAGTACATGTTTTGTACTTGTACTTGTAATTGTACTTAGCATTTAACTGTTCGCTTCTTATAAAAACAACAATTATAAATTTTTCAGATCGCCTAAAATTTTACAATTAACTGGTACACTCCTGTATTCAGCAAGGGGGGAAATTTATCCTGCCTCGCCATGCTTATAACCATGATCAAATATTTAAAATTTCGAAGTGTTGAAACATGTCTGATAAAAACAGAGAGAATAATTAGTATGGTTAGAAACGGCCAAAATTCAGGTTTATGACCTCGCCGTCGTCGTGAATAAATGTCGAAAATTAACATTTAATTGTTCACTTCTTGTAAGGACAATTCATGAATTTTACAATTTTATGATTAATTGCTGTATGGAGCCTTGGGGATGTATGACTTGCCTCGCCCTGCTTATAACCCTAGTCGAATTCTCAAAAAGTCGGAATAATAAACGGCTTGAAGTGAAACCAGCGAGGATAGGCAGACCTGGATGTTTGGAAAAAAAAAACAATTTAGGCAGCAAACAACAAGGTTATTGCTTATAATATTACAAGAATAAGGTAAACAAAATAAGTGGGAAATTAACTCTTGGTAGTGTTTCTAGCCAAGTTCGGTGGTGTTAGTATGAGGTCTAATGGTGATGATTTTTTTTCCAGTCATGACTGTTGATTATTGGACTCTATTGAACTCACTGTCAATGTTGGGCTAGCTTAAAAAAAGCTGGGAATTATTAACAAAATCTAGCTATCTAGCATCAGACAGCCAGGCGGCATTAAAGTCTACCTTTTACTTCATCTGTAGTAAAGTTCAGTGCCGTTGGGTTGCACAAAAGCCCGGCCAGACATTGAGGACAACAACGAATTACCCTTGTTTGGTTACAAGAGAAAACAAGGCAGTGGGGCACCGGGGAGGCCAATAAATTTATCAAAAATAGTGCAATAAAACCACCTGTTCATGGAAAATAAGTCACGAACCCTTGTGCGGCAAACCAAATTACCAAAAACGTCGATCCATCAGACAATGAATTTAGAATAAATTCTCAGATTAATGGGAATATATTCCAGGGCAGAACTACCTAAAAACTAAACCTAGGACGTGTTAGAACGAGAATGATGCTGCATGAACGCAACAGACTATGCAGATATTGCCAGGAAGAGGAACAAACAGGATGTTGCCCTTTGTTGATGCGAGTAGTTCAAGATTTCTATTTTGGGTGAGGAAAAGCCAAGATCTAAGGAATACACGCTGAAGATTTGCTATAAAGCCTAACATTTTAAGAAAAGATAATGGTGTAGATTTCACAGACCAATATTGGTTCGGTGCGCAAGTCGTACACTCCTGTTAACTCTAGCCCACGTCGTAGACGATAGTAACGCTATTTTCCGATGTAGATGTAGATGTAATTTCAGGGTATAGTATACTGCGCCCTTTAAGAGCTATTGTATCCTGCCTAAAGCACATCGGTGAGTCCTATTTCATCAAGAAACTTGATTAATAGGCCCGGTTTCAGTGGTTGAAGCTCTTCTATGGTCACATTGTACATCCCAAAACACTTCCTCCTGCGGGCTAATGTAGCTCCGCAGTTTGTTAGTAAGTGTGTTGGTGTCTCTTCTGCTTCCTTGCAGAATCTACATGTGCCATCTTGGATTATTCCAATTTTCTTTAGATGTCCATTTAATCTACAGTGTCCTGTCAGGAATCCTGTTAGGATTCGCAGTCTATTCCTGCTTCCTTTGACACATTCTGTGATTTCTTTCTTGCCAAAATTGGTTAGAAGATTCTTGGATTGTCTATGTCCAATAAGTGAATTCCAAAGTTCACTCATATTCTTTTTGTCCTTCTGTCTGAGATATTCGTTAATAGTGTGGATTCCTATACCACAGAAGGGTTCGGGCCCTATCAGCGGTGTGGCAGCCCCTTTCCTTGCAAGGGTGTCTGCTTTCTCGTTGCCTTCTACTCCTATGTGTCCTGGGACCCAGCAGAGGCTGACTTTATTCTGCATACCTAATATATTTAGTTTGGTTTTGCAGTTCAGCACCATCCTTGAACTAATGGTATTTGAGCTTAGTGCTTTGATGGCTGCTTGGCTATCTGACATGATACTCCTATATTTGTTTCAGCTAGCTATTTTCCGATAGTAAAGGATATAAGCAGGGCGCGGGCTAGACAGCAAAATCTACCACTGGAGAATGCGAGATGCCGAAACGCGTCTGATAGAACACAAGAGAGGGGAGCAGATAAAATGATCGGAAACGAAGGAATTTCCTTGGAAAATTAGATGCATTTAATAATCGGTTAATTATTCATCAAACCTGATTATTTATACAAATAAAACCAGCTTAATAGTATGTAAATGACATTTGAGAATTTATTTTCTCGTGTACTACCTGGTAATGAACCTGAAATTTGATCTATTCTGATCATTTTTGGGTAGACAGACCAAAACGTTCATGCAATAGTTATTAATTTGCTTAAAATACATTTATTTGCATTAATACCACAAAATTATTCAATTTTTTCACGATTAATTTTATTAATTCATATTCTTCGTTGAAATTTATATTATTGTGTAATGCTGTGCACTCGGGAATGTGGGAATAGCCTAGTTTAGCCAAATAAACTGCTCAAAAATGAATAGGAATATTTGTAATTTATTCTTATTCTATTACTTCTAATTAAATTAACCAATATTCTTGTTAGTTGGATAAAACAAAACACAAAATACAAAATAAAAACAAACAAATGTTAATCTTCATTTTTAATCACAGATTTACTTAAGAATAGTAAACATGAGGATTACTCATTTTGTAAACAACCTTTTCTGGCCTTTTCTCCATTTTAATCCAGTTGCATTCTCTTTAAACATGGAAAGGCGGTCGAAAGGCTCCAGGCCTTTAACCTGATTCCGAGAGACTGGAAGTGCCAATAGAAGGCCTGGTAATTGATCCTCAGCGCAATACGACGCTAAGGGAGGACGGAAATATCTTAAGTAAAGTACAAGATGTTTTGGCAAAATCTTTATCAACACAAACGATTCGTAATTCGCCAGACAACTCAGGAGATTATGGTGCAGAGAATGCGTAGAACGGAACACCAATTGGAAGGCTTTTATGTTTACTTATGAGTCGCGTTTCTGTCTGTATCGTGACAGCAGGCGCCGAAGAGTCTACCGAGAACAGGGGGATGGGTACAATGCCCCGGTTCGTCCTCCCTTCAGTGCAGTTTGGAGGAGGCGGTGTCGTGTCTGGGAAAGGATTTGCACTGGAGGCCAAATTGTTGAAGGCAACCTCACCGCAATCCATTATGCCCAAGACATTATCGAGGAATACATCCCTCAAACCAGGGATCTCATTGGTAGGAATTTTCGATTTCTGGACGACTATGCCTTGTTCATCAACGTTTAGAAAATATGAGAATTTCCCATCCGCCCCTTCCCCATTGTCTCCAGACCTGAATCCCATTGAGTACATAGGGATGCTTTGCGGAGAAGGCTTTCGATCACCATCAGCCAATTGACATACAACAGCTGAGTGCAGCGTTGATACATCTATGCAATAATTTTCCTTATTAAATTATGAAACCTTATTAACAGTATGCCTAACAGGTGCATAGAGGTTTTAGCTAAAAGAGGACATTATACACAGTATTAATTGTTTAAAAAATTATTGTATCCAATAAACAAAAATATTAAATAAAACCTTTTATTTTGTTAATTAAATTTTCCTTCAGGAAAAAACATAATAACTTATTACAATTAATTAAGGTTTTTAGTTGAGATAAAAAAGGCAATGGCACGAGCGGGATTCGAACCACGATCTTCGGCTTGATACGCCGCTGCTCTACCATTTGAGCTATCGTGACCTCGATCCACTCGGACACCAACTTCTCATCTCAACCGCACCTTTTGAATGTTCCCTCCTTTTTGCCATTTTTCAACTGTCATGTATTTCTCTTCGATTCAGTGTCGAGTAGATCGAGGTCACGATAGCTCATGTGGTAGAGCAGCGGCGTATCAAGCCAAAGATCGTGGGTTCGAATCCCGATCGTGCCATTGACTTTTTTATCTCAACTAAAAACCTTAATTAATTGTAATATATTAATAGGTCAAGCGGTCCACGAAATTAGTGAACTTAATAATAATTTATAATAAATTTTAATGCAATTTGTAATAAAAATAAAACAAAACTGCTAGATATAGTAAATACTACAAAATTGGAAATATCCTTATTTATTTTTGAGCAGTTTATATCCAGATCCGACTGCATATTACATTCAATTCTTAATTGTTTTGAGTGTGACTTTATTAAATTTTGGTTTAGTTTTTTGGAATACGAGTTATGACACCAATGCTCTTTTACCTACTCTTAGCGATGAAGCAGTGTCAAGTAATAAGACAGAGTGACTTTTCTAAAGTCGACTTATAAATTTGTCCATGAATTTCGGTTAAGG